CAAGGTTCTCTATACCGCCTCGTATCTTCGCGACACGGCATTCCTTTGGTTCCAGCCCTACCTCGCTGCTGAGAACCCGCCTGCATGGCTCGATGACTTCAATGCTTTCTGCAAGGAGCTTCGTGCTATGTTCGGTGATCCCGACGAAGTCGCCACGGCCGAGCGTCACCTCTACAACCTCCGCCAGCGTGGCTCCGCCTCGAGCTACGTCGCCGACTTCACTCGCTATGCTGCTATCGTGAGCTGGAACGATGAGGCCCTCTGTGCCCAGTTCTACCGAGGTCTCAAGGACACTATCAAGGACGAGCTGGCTCGTACCGAGAAGCCTAAGGACCTCAAGACGCTCAAGGATATCGCAGTGCGCATCGACACCCGCCTATTCGAGCGCCACTTGGAAAGGGACCGCTCTTCGACTAAGAGCCTCGACAACCGCTACGTCCCTCGAAACCCCAACTTCAAGACCACGATCACCAAGGCTACTTTCACCCCTCGGCCCGCTTTCCGCCAGGACTACGACAAGCGGGACCACCTCCAAATGGGATTCAACACCATGCCCCCGAACAACAAGTTCCGCGGCAAGATCCCCAACGCCGAATATGAGCGACGGAAGAGAGAAGGCTTGTGTCTCTACTGCGGCGGCAAGGGCCACACGGTTCACCACTGTCCTGTGGCGCCGCCTAGCCGTCCCAAGTTCAAGTCTTCCCCTTCGCGTGCCAACCTCTCTATTGGCACTACCGTCAAGGGTTCGGGAAAAGCCTAAGCCTTCGACCCAACCCCAGCCAGGGGTCAGGAGGCAAATCCGACATGGCTGACCACCTTGGCTCTACGCTCGACTCGACATATACCCTCTACGACACCACCGACCAGAAGGACGCCGACACCATCCGCTCCTTCGCCATCAAGACCAACCTCACTATCCCCTTCACCCTCAAGGCGAAGAACAAGCAAAGTGTGTTCAAGCCTCACCACCTCCATGCTCTCATCGACTCGGGAGCCTTCAACAACTTCATCGACATCAACTTCGCTAAGGCCCTCAAACTCCAGATGGCTAGCGTTCCTCCACGAGACCTGGTTCTGCTCGACGGCGCTGGACGCAAGAGCACAATCGACAAAGAGGTCTTCGTGTGTATCCAGCTGAAAGACTTCGGCCCCCAGTGGATAAACTTTGCCGTTACCTCCCTGTTCACGTTCCCAACCGTGCTAGGCCTCCCGTGGCTTAGGGAACATGACCCCTTCGTCTCTTGGGCTCGTATGTCCATTAGACCATGCTTTTATCGACCGGAATTCGACCTCAAGACTCCGACAACGACACCGACAAGAAAACTGGAACTGAGTTCCAGTTTCCCCCCGACACCGACACCGACACCGAAATCGACAACTAGGACCCCGACATCAGACCTTGGCTCTCGACTGGAGCAAGGTTTACCGAGTAGCCGCGCTGCCGCTAGCTCGAAGATTGGCCGCGCCGCCGCCAATACCACGAAGAGGCCAGGATCACCCCGGCAAGGTGAAGCCTCTATTCCGACCAGCAAGAGGAACCGTAACAACTCGAAGATCACTCTTAGATCTGACACTGGCTTCGAGTTCACTCGGTTTGGGCGCCTCTTGCCTCCGTTCGACTACGTTCGAAACTACGACACCCACGACTTGGGTTACGACAGCGACTCCGACACCGAGATCGCTTATGACACTGCGCGGGGTGGGTCCCCCGACGCCTACGACACTGCACAGGAAGGGTCTCCTGATGCTTACGATTCAGAGGACGCAATGCCGCCTCCTCTCTCCGACTTCGCACTGGGAGCACTGGTTTCACGGGCAGCCAGTTTGCTCTGCAGTGGGGCAGATGCCACCGACGACACTGCCTTCGTTCCTCAAGAATATCACGACTACCTCGACGTCTTCAGCAAGACAGAGGCCGACAAACTCCCTCCACACCGACCTTTCGACCACCACATCCCTCTCCAGGACGGCAAGACGCCTCCTTTCGGCCCCATCTATTCCCTCTCGGAAAAAGAACTTGGCGTTCTTAGGGAATACCTGGACGAGAACCTAGCCAAAGGGTTCGTCGTCCCCTCCGAGTCCCCAGCCGCGGCACCCATCTTATTTGTCAAAAAGAAGGATGGCTCCCTCCGGCTCTGCGTGGACTACCGCGGTCTCAACAAAATCACCATCAAGAACCGCTATCCGCTTCCCCTTATCTCTGAGCTACTCGACAGACTCAGGAAGGCGAAGATCTTCACGAAGATCGACCTGCGAGGAGCTTACAACCTGCTCCGCATCGCAGATGGCGACGAATGGAAAACCGCTTTCCGCACTCGCTACGGTCTCTTCGAGTATAAGGTCATGCCCTTTGGCCTTACCAACGCCCCCGCCAGCTTCCAACACCTCATGAACCACAACTTCCGGGACATGCTCGATGACTTTGTCATTTGCTACCTCGACGACATCCTAGTGTTCTCAAACACTGTCGAGGAGCACACGGAGCATGTCAAGCGGGTCCTCCAACGCCTCCGAGACATAGGTCTTTACGCCAAGGCCTCGAAGTGTGAGTTCCACACCGACTCCGTGGAATTCCTCGGCTTCGTCATCTCTGACAAAGGCATTGGAATGGACCAGAAGAAGGTTCAGACTATCCTCGACTGGCCTAAACCGTGCAACCTGCACGACATAAGGTCTTTCCTTGGATTCTGCAACTTCTATCGCCGCTTCATCAAGGGCTACTCCACCGTGGCCAATCCCCTCATCCGCCTCACTCGCAACGATGTCCCATTCACTTGGACGAACATCGAACAGGAAGCTTTCGACAGCCTCAAGAACAAGTTCACGCTTGCAGGCTTTACCCACCACTACGACCCTGAATTACCTCTGGTCCTCGAGACCGACGCCTCCGACTTTGCCATTGCAGGTGTCCTCTCGCATGAAGTCGATGGAATTCTGGTCCCCATCGCCTTCTTCTCTAGGAAGCTCTCCCCGGCAGAGCTCAACTATGAGATCCACGACAAGGAGATGCTGGCCATCGTGGCATGCTTCAAGGAATGGCGTCACTACCTTGAAGGAGCAGCTCACAAGGTTACGGTCTACACCGACCACCGCAGCCTTGAATACTTCACGACATCAAAGCAGCTCAATCGACGGCAGGCTCGCTGGTCTGAGTTCCTGTCCGAGTTCGACTTTGTTGTCGTCTACCGCCCTGGCGTCAAAGGCACGAAGCCTGATGCCCTCACTCGACGACCCGACTACCACCCTCAAGACAAAGGATCAAGCCTATCGACAACCGCCAACCCGCAAAACTTCAAGCCTCTCTTAGGACCTCGACAATACCTCGCCACATCGACAAACATCAACATGACCTCCGACATCGTGTTGCGCCTCAAGAACCTCATGGAGAAGGATCCCGACAAGGAATTCTACCACGAAGAAGCTCAACGACCCAGCAACCGGACCTTCACCTACGACGACAATGGTCTGGTCATGCACACCGACAGATGGGTCGTTCCCCGCGACAACGAGCTTCGCCTTCAACTGGTAAAGGAAGTCCATGACCACCCGACCGCAGGACACCCTGGACAGCGCAAGACGCTCCAGCTTCTCCAGCGCAACTACTGGTGGCCGCACATGAAGGGCTGGGTCAACAACTACATCGACACTTGCCACGAGTGCAAGCGAGCCAAAGCTCGTCGACACAGCCCCTACGGATTCCTAAAGCCTCTGCCAGTTCCCCCGTATCCATGGTCCTCCGTGTCCATGGACCTCATTGAAGGACTGCCCAAGTCCAATGGCTTCGATTGCATCCTCGTCATAGTCGACCGCTTGACGAAGATGGCAATCTTCATCCCGACAACTAAGGACCTCACCGCCGAGGACTTAGCCTGGCTCTACATCAAGCACGTCTTCTCTCGGCATGGCCTCCCGCAAACTATTGTCTCCGACCGAGGCAGTGAGTTTGACTCTCGATTCTTCAAGGCTTTCACAAAGCTCCTCGGAATCGACCTCACCATGTCCACCACCTACCATCCCGAGACAGACGGCCAGACAGAGCGTGTCAACCAATCGCTGGAGCAGTATCTTCGTCTCTACTGCAACTACAAGCAGGACGACTGGTACTACTTGCTCCCAGTCGCTGAGTTCACCTACAACAACACCCCGCACTCAGCCACGACTGTATCCCCGTTCTTCGCCAACAAGGGATACCACCCGCGAAGCCATTTCACCCCTCAAGACGTCGACCACCACTCTCCTCAAGCAAGGATTCAAGTCGACGGGCTCTCGGATCTTCACAACCACCTCCGAGAGCAAATGCGTGTAGCAGCTGAGACTGCTAAGCATTTCTACGACAAGCACCGAAGTGAATCGCCAGACTTCAAGGTCGGCCAGAAGGTCTGGCTCGACGCGTGCAACATCAAGACCAAGCGGCCTATGAAGAAGCTTGACCACATGTACTTCGGCCCCTTCACGATCATGAAGAAGCTCTCGCCGGAAGCCTATCGCCTGGATCTTCCCGCCTCAATGAGAGCCCTTACGAACTCCTTCAACGTCAAGTTGCTGGAGCCCTATGCTCACGATGAGCATCTCAAGGACCCAATCCCCAATCGCCGTCAACCTCCTCCACCTCCAATCGAGATCGACGGAGAGGTTGAATATGAAGTGCAAGAGATTCTCGATCATAAGCGAGATCTGCGCTACAAAGATCCTGATCGTTATCTCATCCGCTGGCTCGGATACGATCAAGACGAGGATCAATGGGTTGGGACGGAAGCATTGGAGAACTCGCAAGACCTCTTGCATGAGTTCTGGGACAAGCGCAAGAAGTTGCGCACCCATCAGCTTCCATAACAGTGATGTCCGCAACGACGATAAACTAGGCATTTGGAAACTGGAACTGAGTTTCAGTTTCACCACCGCCACCCAGGAGAAAACTGAAACTGAGTTTCAGTTTTCCCTCCACCGCCCGAATACAGAGACTGAGTCTCTGTTTTCTTCCACCACACTCGTTCCACACCACGACCACCACGACACCACGACCACCACGACACCAGGACCACCACGACACCAGGACCACCACGACACCACGACCACCACGACACGAGGACCACCACGACACCACGACCACCACGACACCAGGACCACCACGACACCACGGACACCGCCAAACCACAATCACGATCGAAAGCCAGGTCACGTGCCGGACACTGACCTCGGGGCTACATGACGTCACAGAACCTCCACTCTCGATTCCCACACGGACCCCTCCACGGACCTCACCGCGACCAAGCCGAACCAGGCCGTGGATGATCGTGCATGCACCCTACGGTGTTTTCTGGGTTATCTACCAAACCTAGACGGGTCCGCCGACATTAGGGAACAGGAAACATATGGGTTCACGACAGGAAACTTAGAAGGATGAAGACGAGAGAGATTCGCGGAGCCGCGCGAGCCGACCAGCAACAGCCGCCGTGTACTGCTGGATCACCTCCATGTCACCCATCAGCTCAGCGAGAGCAACACGGGTACCCGCGATAGTACCTTCCGATGGTTGGAGCGTGTAAGCATGGCGAAAAGAGTCGGCCTCGGCAGGCTTAGGAGTAGACTCGGAAGAAAGGACCTCAACTGGCTGTTTCTCACGGCGCCGTTCGGATACCAAACTGCACTTGTTGCGGCGACGGTTTCGAATGCAGGGCGTGCAAGCGTTACCAGGCTCGTGGACACAGTTCAGCTTTGCAGGAGACTCACGGCAGTTGGTACACATGTTGTCGCCGAACAGCTGTTTCACCAATGTCGTGTTAGAGGTCGAGCCGAGTATATGCGCCCGAGAAGACACATGTGCGGAAGAGCGCGTGAGTTTGGGCGAGTGAGGAGTCTCGACTAGACCCTCACGGAGACGACGAGGAGGCTCCCACTCTGAGGCCGAGCTGGAGCTATCCATGGAAGCGTCGTCTGAAGGAATAAGTGGACTAGACATGGCCGCGAATGGAACTTCGGGTGAAACTGGAACTGAGTTCCAGTTTTCTTGAACACCGGCCGTGTTGAGGAAATCCACGGGATATGGCTCGAATGCCATTGGGAAACGCTCCTCGAATGGAGTGTTGTTGCCGACGGACCATCCCTCGCAGGGATTGAAGGAGTCGGCCAAGATATCACTGTCGGACTGCATGTCCGCAGGTGATACGAAGGATCGAAACTTGGATAACTCGAAACTTGGTGATGGTGACATCAAGAAATCACGGGCCGCTGCCCACTCGGGAATATCCAAGTCGGAAGGAGTGCGAGGCAGACAATGCTCGCTAAGGAACTCGAAAAGATCGAAATCGACGTCATCGAAGGTCTTCTCCGACATGGTGAAGATGTCTACGACACGGAACTCTTCGACACACTTCAACATATAGCTCTCGCAGGAGCTCGACACTTTTGGGGGGGGATACTGTCATGCACCGTACCGGCGCCTGACCAACTCCACCTGTATCCACCCATGCGTACGGCTACGTCCACGCCTACGCCTACGCCTACGTGAACGCCAGCGTATACGTCAACGCTAGCGCTACCGTACACGCCTACACCCACATTCCACAACTCCACCAGGCACGCATTCCACAACATGTGTTGCCGCTATCGCTATCGCTACCGTACACGTTACCGTGCACGCTACCGCACACATACACCTCGCCGTGTCCGTCAACGCATACGGACACACCACCACCCACACATTTGCCACTCGTAGTCAGGGCCATCGGCCCCTCCCGACAGATATATAAAGAGCTCCGTTGTAGACGTCCTCTCCATGGATCTAATTATCTGCGGTATACCACACGTCCGCCGTCACAACTGCGGACCTCTTGACAAGACCCCACACGGAGCTTCGACCCAGCTCACTTCAAGCCGACATCTCGACACTCGCCACCTCGTGTCTCGACACCACCCCTCCTACCTCGGCCACCGCTACCACCCTTATCGCTTGCCTACACCGTCGCCGGTTAGGACGATCCATCCAAGCGCCACTCGCCCGTTGAGCAACACTATAAGTTGACCAGCAGGTTCAGTAGGTTGTGCCAACTCCGCACGCCTCGAGTCCTCCTTCGACGATCCACCCACTTCGGGCAGCCCGGATCGTAACACCTCCGTCCCACGGATGAGCAGTGAACGTAAGAGGAGCCCCCTTGCTAAGGATCGAGGGAAGAACCCAGTTGATCGTTCCTTGAGCGAGAGGATGAAGTTGATCGTCCCTTCCGGCGCTGGGAGGGGTACACCACCGCACGGTCTACCCTCCTCACCTGACAGCAGTGCCAGTGTTACCATGTCGACCAGACATCGACCCACAGTCCCAGAGTGATTGCTTCGTCTGGGTTTCTTCATCCGGGTTCGTCCCACCTATCTCACAGGTCTACTGGCTTTCTTTTGCCAGTACTCCACATCTCTGTTCTCATCCAGTACGACAATCGCGGCGAGTGCACCGTAGCCCACTAGCCATGTGGAGTAGAAGCCTTCTCGTCTTTCTAAGTCTAACCCTACATGTTGTCCGTGCTGCCTCCGACATGCCCTTCTCGATCTTCCTCAACATAACCCGCCAGTCTCCGCGTGTGTTCTACGTGGACCCATGGGAGATGAACCTCGTCACCGGAGCAATCGGCAGCGCTAACGCGCGCTGGACGAATATGGGTCTGGCGTTCCTGTGGAAGATCGGGTCCAGGTACACTCCGTACGGCACTGTCGAGGGCCGGTATCGGAGCTGGTTAGAAGTCCTGGCAAGATCAGCTACCAGTGGGGACATGAAAGCTTATCCGCAGATGCTATGCTCAAGCCATATCCGGCGAGTGGACCCATCGCTGAGTCGGGAAAGATCGAACTGGGGCCATACTAAATCTACATGAGCCGGAGAGAAACACGACGATGACTATCGACTACATCACTATCGAGACCCAATCGCGACCAATGCGTGAGTTGCGCACATCACACGGCAAATAACCACGTAAGACCCAACGAACCGCCCCAGAGCTGGAGCCTACGATGTCCAATTAGGATATGCTCTAACAATATATTAGGAAATCCATCCCAATATGTCGAGTTGGGATCAATACCATATGGGGTCAGCAGTGATTCCCAGTGCCCAATATCAAGATGGGATGATGGATATCCCCAATATATTGGAAAAATGGGCGCATATCCTAATATACTGGGCGATTTTCTCAATATGGGATCAATATGGGATGGCCAAATAGCCAATAGTTCAAATTAGGATCAATATGGGATTGGGCCAATATCGGTCCAATATATTGTTTGGACATCGTAGCTGGAGCACGCACCGCATATGCCGCATATGCCGCCAAGGGAGGCGCATTGAACAAGGCGTCCGTCGCTGTCCGCCAGTGCGACTCTCAGAAGTATGCCAACCACCCCACAGGCCAGCCAGACGGTGTCATTTCGCCAACCCTCAGACTCTTTGAGACGTTAGAAACAGCAGTGTTGTCTTGCAGAACTACACAGAGCTCACCTATGCGGTACCGGCAAACAAGTCCTTGATCAACGCTACCGGACCAGTCCACGACGCGAACATCCTCTGCTACTTCATTCTGGGCCCCGAACCCTGGTGGTGGAGCGCAGGTGTGCTTCCAAGCGCTGAGACTTCCAAGCCCGAGTATCGACCGAATCAGACCGTGATAATGATACCTGAAGAACCGGCTGTGGAGTACCAACGCGATCATCGGCGCCAGCGGCAAGCCCTGCGCGATCACTGGTGTTACGTCCTACTCATACAATGCGGAAGTGTCATTACCCGCAGAAATTATTTAATGTGGGCAGAACTACGCCATCCAATGTTACTTTGATCTCCACTGCGGGTGGAGATATACCCTTCCAACCGTCAGGGGCCCTAAAACCTCTCTTCTCAATGCGGCTGATCGCGCCACTATCCTTCAAGTTGGCGGGGTGCCTCTTGCCCCAAGCTTCCTTGTACTGTGAAGGAAGCAGAAGATTGGCTTCGGTGTCCTCCTTGTCTTCGGCATGTTAGGCGGGGCGGGAAGCTGCGGCAGAGCTAGCAACGGCGTCCGATGGCTCTGATGTGCTGCCCGGGTGCAAGTGCGGAGTCTACTCCCCACTACTCATTTCCTGGCCAATGAGATCGATGTATCCGGTCGCTGTGAGTGAGGGAGTAGTGTCGTGTCCCCCGCTCTGTTTGGCAGGAGGGTTAGGGAGGCCAGCAGGTCTATGGTAGGGCACGATGGCTTGAACGTCTTCAGTGGGTTCGAATGCCGAGACCAGGCTGGGTGGCTGGCGTGGGATGTATTTTGATTGCTGACGCTGGCGACGGCAGAGAAGATAGAGTGCCCGGAATGCCAGGAGCGCTATGCCCAAGGATCCACCGACTACAGCGCCTGTAATCAAGCGGGCATCTGACCTCTTCGAGGTTCCTCCGGCGGCCGCGGAGTTGGCTGCGTGGCTCGGCTCTGAAATGCGAGGCTTGCAGCGTAGTGGGCATGATCAAGCTGTGTGATATCCACAGTTCACGGCGGGATTATGACTGTTTGCCTCCCATTGATAGCACGACTGGAATATACCTTAACAGCCGACGGACTTGAACATCGGCGTCTATGTTGATCATCGGATATGGTGTCACAGGAAGTGGCAAGCTGTCACAGGGCTGGCACTGCAACGGTGGTAACGGGGTAGAACCCTCAGAACTAACCCCACAAGGCTTACGGCCGATGAGGACGACTTGGACAGTTACTGACACTGACTGAAGAGGCTCGCGAGACTTTCTGGTTCACCAATGCATCATTGAGCTGAACACCGTCGTGAACAGCAACAACAAGCAAGTCCCTGCTACTTGGTACCAGCTGCCTTCGTTACGATTCTCGAGCCCGAAGCGACTGGCTATCGTTCTGTCCGGCAGAAAACAAGCCGGCAAGCTCGAGAGTATCGAATCCCTTTTGCCTTGCCTCAACACTTCCTTTGTTTGACCAGTCTCAACCATCAGAGGGTGACAGACTCTGAAACGCTGAAACGGCCCACGCTGCAATCCGAGAGCTGCGTGATCTACAGGACACTCCGAGCGGCTTTTTCCTCCCTGAGAACACTGCATTGGCTCATCGATGGCACAGACACATCCCGACTGAAGTTCATGCAGTTGTAAACATGACTGAAGCTGCTGCTTTCTCACCACCGTGCGAACGCCCGGAAACTATGCCGCTCCCTTCACATCATCCCCCAGTACGAAAGGACCTGGAGGCAGACACTGACGCTGTTCTTGACCTCATTGCGCGGGTAACTTGGGAGTCTTGTGGAAGGGAGTGGCACGGAGTATGACGGATGGGGGTCTTGCGCTCCGAACGATATTATGAATACGGTAGCTCGTATCTCTTGACTCTGCAGTACCACAGATCGCGCTATGTTCTACCTTCTCCGTGCAGTTTGCTCTGATGCAACCCCAGTTTACTAGCCATGTTCCGCCACTTGACGGCAACTGCTCAAGCCTGCTCCGTGGCTTAGCGCAGTCGCTCAAACAAACGGTCGCACATGTGCAGGGACCTGCGGCGGATTCCCGAGTCCACAGACAGGAGCCTACTCGCAGTCCAGCGAGCTGACCAGACACCTCCTGCGGTCAGCACGGGGTCCGCGAATGCGGACGCCTGCGTAAGTGAGTAATTCGCGCAAGCGGGACAAGTCCGAGCACTGCGACTGCTCTCTGCGCGATCTGCGCAGCCATTGATGACCCCCGCGTGCTGGAAGCGATCGAAGCCCGACGGATGACGCACCAGCAGTCATGCGCCCCAAGTTAGGTCAGCAGCCTCGGATTTCAGGCTCAGGGGCGGAGTTCGCAACCGGTATGAGAGATCGGGGATCGGTCGATCGGGGGGTGTACTGCATGCACCGGGTCTGACGCCTCAGGCAAGAGCACTTGCAACACCAATTGCAATACCGCATCTTGTTCCATGGCAGTGCCTCCTTCATACGTATGCATGGCACATTAGTCGTAATTGACTTTGCTGATATCTACGGGGACGTGCTCCCATGCTCAGTGCGCTCTGATTCTATGAGCATTCGCGATCGAACGTGCTTTCGACCACCCCTGACCAACTGGACTGTTGATCGCTTCACAGCGCGACATTACGCATGCATGCGGGCGGCAATGCGCAGGCATGAGGCGCTGAGAGCGAAAGCCGGGGGGCGTCACTAGTGTCACTGGATCAGGGGTGTCTGGCGCACAAGTGCGCTTTGGGGCGGATCATTGTAGATAAGAATAGCGGGTCGTCTGCGCGTGCGCTTGGTTCGCTTGATTCGCCTATCGATGCGTGCGCGAGGCATAGCAACCCGATGCAATTGACTTCCCGACTCCGTGGACCTTCCAGAAACCACATTCATGCGCGGTTGCAGACTGCAGGACGCGCACTCGTATACCAGACCAGAAGAGGATCAGTGGCAGCGACCGGTGGCGCAAGTGAGTGCCTGAGGCTGGTCAGAGTGGATCAGGTGGCAGTTGACCGATTGGGCCCACCCGTCCGTGGCCCAGATCAGGTAAACACTGGCGATCTGAACTAGCTCTTCGGTCCAGTCACCTACCACACACAGCCTGCTCACCACCTGCGTGCTGCGCCTTGCGCCCCGCTCCTCGCCTGCGTCCGGAAGAGTGCGCAGCGGTGCCGCATGCATGCCTGGAGAATGCTTCCGCCGCTCGCCGTCAGAGCGTCTGGGAGCGTCTTTACCCCCTCAACTTCCCCACTTTGTCTTCCTTCCCTCTTCATCACCATCACACACACACTCTTTTAACTTCACGCTCATTTGCCATACACAAGTTACATATCACCCTAATCAACCAAAGATGTCTACCTCACGTTCGACACCGGCCAAGCGCAGCCGCGCCTGCTCTTTCACCTCGTCCACCCTCTCGCCGATCGCCGAGTCGCCCGTGCCCAGCCCGGATCAAGATGCCCTGCCCGCGGCCAAGCGGCTGGTGAGTTAACGCTTTTGTCATGCTCAGACCACCTTCGTCGTTGTAGCCTTTGCTGATGCTCTCAGCGTCGCGTCTTCTCGTCGTCGGATGGTCTGCCCCGAGCCACGCCAGCGGAAACGCTCGGCCGTGGCACCGGCGAAGGATCTACCAGCCGCGACCAAGCACGAACGACTGCAAGCAGGCGTGCTGGTGGTGACACTGAGGCCCTGTCTTTCCTCGCCGCGTCCACGTCGTCTGGTTCCCAGATCGAGCACCTCCCCCCCCCCAGGCCAACCCACCGAGGAGCTTGACGAGGGCGCCGTCATCCAGGCTCTTATTTCTGCCAACGCCTTGGCGACGCAGTTTCTGCAGGCGCGCCGAACGGGACCGGCTGTGAAGCCTGAAGCCGCCGCCGCCCACGGGCCGCAACAGGAGGACTCGGATCCAGTCCCTCCTGCGCCCTGGACGCGACCAGTTGAGCCACGGCCGCGGCGCATCCCACATGTGTCGTTCCGGCCAACCCCGCGACTCTTCCCTGAGCTCGCGGCAGGCGTCAAGAAGCCCGCTGGTCATCAGCGCTCCCGCTCTGAGCCCCCTGTCCTTGAGGCTCTGGATGGCGCTGCGGCAGGCACGAGCAGCGATGTGTCGTCTTCCCTTCCTCCTCTCGCGTCGGACTTGTTGGAGAGCCAGGTGATGCAGGAGCCGAGCATCCCCGTCGCCGTGTCGCGGCCGCAGGCTCGCGCGACCAAAACTCAAGCGAGCACAGGGCGCGCTGAGAGGCCGGACGTGACGACCGCCGAGACGGTAAGTCTGTTCATCTATGAGCAAGAAAGGCTCGCTGACGCTTTTCAGGTCAGCAACCAGCAGAAGACGATCTATCGTTCGTTTGTGGACGGGACCCGCACAGTGAGTAGGCTCCTTAGCTGACAGCCCCATCTAACGATAGGTGAAGCTAGTGTACCGCTCTTCTGAGCACAAGTTTACAACGCAAGGCTTCATTATGCGTGACCTCGCTCGCGTTCTCCACCAGCCTCGTCCCGCGGTGGACGCAGTCCATCTCCCTTTTCCTAAGGAGCAGATGGACCGTCACCCGCAGCTGGAGAAGAACCATGTCAGCCTGAGGGTGGTTGACTCGTCTTCAACGATAGAACGATCGCAGTTCGACCCCCACTCCATGTGCGTCCTCGTCTCGGAGCCGGGGGGGGCGCTGCTCTTTTCATTCGGTCGTCGACAGCTGGAATCGCCAACGGCGAAACGCCACTTTGACCATTTCGTGACGTGGATGAGGTACCTTAGGGACCGGTCGGCAGCCGATCATCAGCTCGTGAGTAGCGACTTTGTGGGGGGGCCAAGTGATCTTCGTGTCTGAGGTCAGGTCAAGCGACAGCTCTTCGAGCGGGCTTCCCCGAAGCAGGCGAAAGGTTGTAGCTGACATCCAGGCCGTCGTTGCTGCTGCAGGAGCACAGTTGGCGGACACGAGTTCGGTCCCTACGACGAGCCTCACCCCAACTGCTCGTCCGCCGCCCCTTCCAGCAGCAGGCCCGGTCGGAGGTCGAGGTACCGCTCCAACTGCTGGCAGCCAGACAGCGAGGTCATCGAGGCAGGAGTAGGAGGATGTGACGCGCACAGCCAGCAGCTGATCAGTGGTGGTTACGTAGTGACTTGACGATAACATGCATATGACTTTTTGGATGCAAGAATGAGCGAGTCGATCTTCGCGACACACTCTGCTCAGGTCGAGTAAACGCTGCCGATGCGCGAGGGCTCACAGTCAACCGTGGGAGAGTCAAGGTCAGAGACTGGCGGTTCATAGCACGCTGCTATATTCACTCGGCCGTACCACACACATCGACGCAGCAGCCGGCAGCCGGACATTCTCATTGCCGGGCGAGTGCACCGTAGCCTGTGCCTGGCGCGTGTAATCTGTCCGAAGTACTGACACCTCGATCGTCGACTTTGCCGAGCGCCATCATCATCACCAACTTGCTCTCACCACTCACCTCTTTCTTCTTATCACATCAAAATGCGCCCTTCCACCCGCGTCTGCCAGGACATCTTCGTGGTCGCCTCCAAGCGTACCCCCTTCGGCGCCTTTGGCGGAAAGCTCAAGGACCTGAAGGCCTCCGAGCTCGGCGCCCACGCCGCTAAGGCTGCCCTTGCCGAGCTCCCCGAGGGCGTCAAAGTCGATGAGGTCTTCTTCGGGTGAGTCAGCAGTGACAGGCGATGTCTCCCAGCATCCGCAACCAGCATCCGCAACCAGCATCATCTATCTGCTTTGTTGCCGTTGCTTGATGCGAGCGCTCATCCCCGGTTGGAGTAAGCCGGCTTAGACTGGCATTTTTGCCGAGCGTTTACAGCCCGATCCTTGCTGTTGGCTAACAACAACAGTGGTGTCACCCAGACTGACAACTCGACCCCCTACCTCGCCCGCCATGTCGGTGAGCGCATCGGCCTGGACCACACCGTCCCCGCTCTGACTGTCAATCGGTGAGGTTTAACGCCTTCGCTCTTATCTGACGACCAGTCTTTGTGGTTCTGGCTTCCAGTCCCTGATTACCGCTGCCCAGCACATCAAGCTCGGCGAGGCCGACACCTGTGTCACTGGTGGAGCCGAGGCCATGTCCATGTCTCCCTTCACCCTGTCGGGCTCCAACCGTACGGGCATGCGTTTTGGCCAGGACCAGAAACTGGAGGACTCTCTCTTCGCGACTTTGACCGATCTGAACCCCCGCGGCGAAAAGACGCCTATGGGTATCACCGCCGAGAATTTGGGCAAGAAGTACGGCATCACGCGCCAGGACGCGGACAACTACGCCCTGCAGTCTCAGCAGCGCTACGCGCAGGGTCTCAAGGACGGAGCGTTCAAGGATGAGATCGCGCCCATCACGCTCAAGACGCGCAAGGGCGACGTCGTCGTTGACGCCGATGAGCACCCCAAGCCCCAGACCACGATCGAGGCGCTCAACAAGCTCCCCTCTGTCTTCATCCCCAAGACCGGCACTGTGTCTCCCGGCAACGCTTCCGGTATCTCTGACGGCGGTGCGGCCAACATTGTCATGGGCGAGAATGCTGTCAAGGCCACTGGTGCCAAGCCCCTGGCCCGCGTTGTGTCCTACGCCTGGTCGGCGTGCGAGCCCAGCATCATGGGTATCGGCCCCGTCGCGTCGGTGCACAAGGCGCTCGAGCGCGCCGGCCTCTCGCTCGGCCAGATGGACCTGATCGACATCAACGAGGCGTTCGCGACCCAGTGGCTCGCCGTCGCCAAGGAGCTTGACCTCCCCAACGACAAGAGCAACATGTTTGGAGGCGCCATCGCCGTCGGACACCCCCTCGCTGCCTCGGGAGCGCGTATCATTGCCAACCTCGTCCACAACCTCCACCGCCTCGACAAGAAGTACGCCCTCGGTGGAGCCTGCATCGGTGGTGGACAGGGTATTGCCGTCATCCTTGAGCGTGTCTAGGCGCCGACATAGTTAGACAGCGGCATAGGAAGAGCGATATGTAAACCATGAAAGTGTCCTTTATGAGAGTGATCTGACCTGCCGCCGAACGTCAGAAGGGTTCAGTAGACTGCCTCAATGCTCAGTTCCCCATGTCAGATGAAAGCCAGATGCATGGTATACAAGGATCAGATACATTGGAATTATTGGCGTCCCGGCATCTGCTCGTTAGCTAATTGCCCGATTTCGAGAGCTTCCCCCTCAAGGGCGCTGTTCCCTCTCGGACACTAGACCGACGGCAGGAGAGGAACCACTGCCTGCATGCGCGATTCGAAGCAGCTGGGGGTTCCTGAGGGATCTGTACAGATCGCAAAGACCATGGCATCCCCTCGCGTACCCTAGCTCCGGCGGTCCCGCCTATCGTACTCATACTCACAACAATCTTGTGTTCCCTCTGGAACGACGCAAACTCCTCCTCCTTGCCCTTGTACGTCTTGACGAGGGTTTCGAGCACCTCCTTGATGCCGGCGTAGTTGGTCTCGAGCGCTGGAACCACGTCCTTGACTGTACGTTGGACGAGGACGCCGCCGATCAGCCGGAAGCACTTGCGCTCCGGGTCTGAGGTAACGAGAGGCTTGAGCGTGGACAGGACGAGGCTGGAGTTAGTTTAACGTAAACTGGGCCTTCCAGCTACAGCAGTGTCTCGCAGGCATCCAAGCTCCGCCGGGAACACAGGCGAGAGAGATCAGGATGGGCTGTAGGCCTCAAGGTTGCCATTCAAAACGGAGGAAGGCCATCGGGGAAAGGCCACATAGCCGCCAGTCCTTTGACCAGCTGTCGGGGATGCGCTTGCAGGACAAACGCCCCCTCAAGCTATCATAGAGGGACTCCATAGCCACTCTCTACGCAACAGGACTCGAGCACTGCCGTTGGTACTCACGCATGCTCCTCCATCTCGCTCTCAAGCTCCCCAATCTTCTGCGCGAGGCTCTGGAGCTCCGTTCGGTAGCGCTGAAATTGAACCTGGATCTGCTGGGGGTCGAGCTGCTTGCTCCCCGAAGCGGCGCCCGCCGCCGAGCTTGAAGCCGTTGTCGCCATGGTTGTGAGATGTTGCGCTGTGGAGGAGAGCGACTGATGGAGGGCGATCGAACTGGGCTATTCGAAGCGTGTTCTGAGCGCTCAGCGCGCAACGAGCGTCATGGCTCGTCTGTGCGTGGCCATCGCATGGCATAAAAGTCACGTGCAATGCAGCTTTTGCTCCCGTGCAGGCCGTGTCCTGGGCGATGTGGAGTGGAACATGGAAATGTCGATCGTGTGGGAGAGGTACACGTCATATCGTATCAAAATCGTAGTTTGCAGCTCAGTCTTTCTTTCTATTGTGTCCGACGCTGCCTCGACGCAAAGCCGCAAAGCGTGTCGACGTCGAGCTCGATACCTTCGATACCCACCGCACTTAACCCCAAAAACGACGCCAATCCGATCCATCACCATGGCTGACTGCGTCGCTATCGCCCCCGAGATCAACTTCCGGCAGCAGGTTAGCTCAAATCCCTCGCTGTTGAATAGCTGACGTTGCAGATCGCCGAGACGCTGCAGCATGCCGCGCGCTCGATGCCCCAGGCTGAGCAGGTTGCCACGCGCGAGATGCTGTCGTCGTTCGACGCCGAGCTCAAGCAGGGAGACGACCAGAAGATGAAGCAGGACATGATCAAGAAGGTCGTTGGAACGTTTGTCGACACGCAGGGCGCGCTCGAGGCCGCCAAGGAAGGCGAGAACGAGTCGTCTCACGTGCTCCTCAACTACACGCTTGCGCAGAACTTTGACACGAACGGAGAGGAGTACGCCGGTCTCGTCAAGAGCCTCGTTGACGCCGTCCGTGCCGGTGGCGAGAAGGCCGTTGCCGATGGAAGGACGGCCAAGGCCGAGTCCGCCGCCCGCATCCTCACCAACACTTACAACCTCCTCCCTGCCTCCTCCCCTCTCCGCCCTACCGTCCTCCTCGCCCTCGTCCAGCTTCTCGCCGCTTCGGACGACCTCGCTGCCCTCCCGATGTCCGGCGTCTCCGCCGCCCTTGCCCAGTGGTCCGTGTCCGAGGCTGACAAGGTTGCCTTCCTTACGCAGGCTGCCGCCGTTTACGAGAAGGCCGGCAAGCTCGACTCTGCCCTCACGCTGACGCTCCTCGCCCTTGAGCGCGATGTCAACGCCAAGACCGCCGAGCACGCTCTCGCCCTCGCCCTCGCTCAGAACGACCGCTTCGACCTCGACGACCTCCTCAAGGTCCAGGGTGTTCGGGATGTTCTTACCGGCAAGGCTGCCGAGCTCGTTGCCCTGTTCACGAGCGTTGACGAGCTCGAGGCTGTCCAGAAGGCTGCGGAGTGGACGAAGGCGAACGGCGCTTTCGTTTCGGGCCTCGGTGTTGAAGGACTGGATGCGGACGAGGTGCTGCGCAAGGTGCGCCTGATCGCCATCGCGACGCTGGCCGCGCGAAGCGCGAGCAAGACGATCGCGTACGCAGACCTCACCTCTGCCCTTGGTGTTCCCGAGGACGAGGTTGAAGCGTGGGTCATCGATGCGATCCGTGCCGGCCTCCTCGAGGCGCGCCTGTCCCAGCCCCTTTCGTCTGTCCGTGTCATCTCCGTCTCCTCCCGCGCCACCCGCCGCTTCGGCTCTGAGGAGTGGCAGCTCCTCGAGCGCCGGCTTAAGGAGTGGAAGGCCGCCGTCGACGACGCCCTCACAACCGTCCACGAGGCCGGGGCCCTCGCCGCCCAGGGACCCATCACCAACACCCGCCCCCGCCGCAGGCAAGAGCAGCCCGCCCAGACCGAGAACAACTAATTCTTCGGCGAAGGCAGGCAGTGTAATGAAAACCGTCTCGACGGTCGACGCGGCGACGCCGTGCGTGTAGCGTGTATAGCATGCAGGGACAGGTCACAGGACTAGTAGAGTGATCTTAGATGGTATGCATGTGGGATTAGATTTCGGCTAGCGCTCCAGCGGGCGAAGCGGTGTCAACGGAGTGATGAGCCATGAGCGGAGTGAGCATCAAACTAAAGATCAAGACGTTCAGACGTGCAGACCACCTGATGCATGTAGACGCTTCCTCCTGGCCAATGTATTCTGTGCAAGAAGCATGCACGAGACATCCGCGTTAGGCACTTCGTGCCGACCGTGACGGCGGCCACCAGTCGCCCCACGGCCGCCACCGAGATGGGACCAAATGCGGGCAGGGCACGACGCAGCGTCATGACACCAACCTCCACCCTTAGCCGCCCTCACCACCTCACCTACTCCCCATCTCACACTCACCCACGTCACCGCTATGGACCCGCTCGACTCAACAAGTGCGTGGGGCGGGAGCTCGGCCGTACCCTCTCCGTTGCCCAGTGCGACCGAATCCACCTCCGGTCCTTGGGGTGGAAGCAGCGCCGCGTCAACGTCGTCGAGCACGGTTCCCGACCTCCGCGAACCCCGCGTCTACGGCGACCCCGTCCCCGCCCTCCCTGCTCCAAATGAGCAGCAGGCGAAGCAGAGCCAGGCGCCATTCCTCCGCGTTCGCATCGCGGGCGTCGACAGGAATAGGAAAGACCTCCTGGTTCGGTTCGATAGTAGTGTGAGTACGCCAACGGTCTGAGCCATTTTGCGGAGCGTCACCTTCTTGTCCCCGGGCTCTGTTCGCAACAGAGACTGCTAGAGTCTGATATATTTCTATCCTCTCCTTCTACCGCTACTCAGTATCTGTTCAGATTGACGTACTGACCGCAGACCAACTTGCCGAACTTCCGACAAACGCTGTACCGCAATGGCCAGCGGTCGTACGCCGAATTCCAGCGGTTCGCGGAGCAGGCGCAACTCGTGTGCCCGCAAAGTAAGCCTGCTCTTTAATCTGTAGCTGACGCTCAGCTATCATACCTGCGCTTCCGTTACCGCACACGAGCGCGGCGAGCGACGAGGAGGATGACCGGCTGGTGCGGATCGCTCTTCAGCGGTGGTTTACGAGGATCTGCGAAGACCCGGTGCTGCAGCACTCCGATGAGCTGCGGTCCTTCATCGAAAGCGACTTTGGGTACAACCCTGTTGCGCCGCCGAAGCCTGCGTCATCGGGCGGAAACGTGCTGAGTGCGGCGTTGTCAAAGGTTGTGCGCCGGGGACCGCTGGATGACGACGACGAGCTCGCCAGTGCGAAGGTGACGTTGGAGCAGTTGGGCCCTGCGTGGCAAAGTGCCGCGACCAGTGTCGGCGGGATTGGGAAGGCTCGGCGTGCGCTTTCTGTTGCCACCTCGGACGTCGGAGCGAAGATGGTTGCGCTGGCGACGGACGAGAACGACCCGCTACTGGCCAACGTCGAGCGCAAGATGGGACGGGGGTACGAGCAGATCGCCGCAATGGCCGGACAGGCGATCGCCAGCGACAACGTGATTCTGGCCGATTCGCTCGGCTACCAGGCGCTGAATGCGAAGGCGGCACAGGACGCGCTCTCGCAGCGTCTACAGATTCTGGACGACGCACAGAGCGCGACTAAGGCGGCCATCAACAAGCGCCGCACCGTTGAGCGCCTGAAGGCTAGCAGCTCCATCAACCCGGCCAAGGTCGACGACGCTATCGCGGACATGGATGACGCCAACCTTGCCGAGCAGACGCTCAACCATCGCCTCCATGCCATCAGCAACAATCTGCACCAGGCCTTGCGCGCGCACTCGCGTAACGCGCACGAAGACATGGCTGTCTCGCTCCTCGAGCACGCGCGCATGAGCATCATGTACAACCGACATGTGCTGCGGGAGCTCGAGGCGCTCAAGCCAGACTTCAACAAGGTCAACGCGCTCGCGACCGGCCAGAAGGTTGCGCCGCCTGTCGGTCCTGCTCCTACCCAGAGCGCCGCGGCTGCCTATGCCAGCGCGAGCACGGCCGCCGCGCACAGCTCCGCTAGCACGCCGACCGCACCTACAGGTCCGGCGCCAGGCAGTGGATCTGGCACACCATTCCGCTCCCCTGTTAGCCCCGCTCCGGCGACGGCGCAGAGCATGTTCCTCCCGACCCAGTCGGCGCCGGGCACGCCGGGGTCGCAGGGCAGCGACCCGCTCGGCGGCGGCGTCGCGCAGAGTATGGTCCTGCCGGGACAGCAGAAGCGTCCCCCGCCCCGTCGCTTGGACGAGCGCAAGGCCGCCAAGCTGCTCGCTGGTGGCTTCTAAACTTCGCATGGTGCTCATCGTCGAGAGGGATTGCTATGTCGAGTAGGGTGAGGAGAGTCGCATGTTTTGTATACCTGGCAACGAGAGACCTAGCAGTCGTTAATGCATAAGTGACATGGAAATGGCGGTGCACAAGGGCAATGTGTGGGGGCCAAGACTGCGTCTAAGCGCGAGGCGACAGGGGAAGAGGTGATTTGCAGAAGCAACAGAAGCTTCGGTGCATCGTTCGGTGGTGTCGTCGGGGGACGGGCCAAAACGAGTGTAACCGACGTCATTGGCCGTGAGTGACACTTGTCGGTAGTCTCCGACGAGATTTTGGTTTCGGGCGCCGCATTATCTTTACGTACTTTTCTCTTCCTTCCATCTACGACGAAGCCCGCCAGCAGCACCCCGACAGTGTGCATAGACCGGCGCCTTGGTCTGGGCGGCTCAGTATACGACTCCGACAAGCAGGGAACACCCAAGACATTTCGGTCGAGGGTGACGCAAAGTGTCAGACGACCATCGACCGCGGACATCAACACGACCAATACATCTCAGAGGATCGACTAGAAGAACAAGCTGCGCTGCGCTACGACGATTGACTCCCGCGGGCGCCCGTACGTGGTCGAGTCCGGCGGCCCGCCGACCATGGCGTACCTGGACCGCACCGAGGCTTGGGAGTCTGCGCCGCCCCCCCCGACAGCCAGCAGCTATCCCGACGGCACCCAGTTCACGAGGCTGTCGACTCCTCTCTTGCCGCCAGTGTATGCGCGCCTCCCCATCCTGACGCAACTCTGGCTTCAGTCTCGATTGACCCGGCGTGCGTCGAAAGAGCTCAAAGGCGCCTACAGGGCTTGGGCGAGGGATGAACGCGAACGGGAGAAGCGATGGCGGCGCGGGATCTTCGATGAAGGGCCAACAACAGTTCTCCGACTACCAAGAGGACCAGGAGCGCATAAGCCGGACACGGGCGACATCGAGAAGATGATGGACGTCATGGAGTTCGAGGAAAGTCTGAAGAAAGGCGAAGTGCTGGCCCTCGGACAGCCGCTTTCCGGGGACTCAGGCGAGGCTGACCCCCGAGGTACAGCAAATGAGAAGGTTGAGGACTTCCTGACAGATCCGCTTGAGGAAGGAGAACCACCAGAAGCAGCCGACTACGCCGAGCTGCAGCAATACGCCCCCGACTGCATGATGGCGTCGGGACGGCTTGATCCTTCCGCGTTCCGGGACGCGGGGTGGGCTCGACCAGCGACACTGTCAAATGTCGGTCTCCAGTTCGACATCTGCCGCCTACTGTGGCCAAAGGTATGGCGCGCCCTCTGGGCTGAGCGGCGATGGACAGGCCATATGCTCCTCTACCTTTTCCGCGTGATTTACGACGGCCTCTCAACGACGGCCAACCTCTGGGCCGACCAGCAAATGTTCAATCTCGTCGAGCGGAGCTTCAAGACGGGTATCAGGGCGACATGGCAGGAAACGTTGACTGCTGTCGGCCTTGCTCTCGGCGTGAGGGCGTTCAGCGAGATCGTGAGACTGGTTACCCGCCGCGCAACGCGCAAACTCGAGACCTACGTCGACTTCTGCATGGAACGGGCGTATCTCCGCGCTCAGCTCGGTATGACCCTGCAAGCGCGCAACTCGCCACTGCACATCGCAAGGGTGCATGAGGCGGGCGTCTTTGCTGGCTTCGAGCCTCAGTTCGGCCTCGAACGTCCTGTCTCTGGACCGTGGATGATGGTCCAGACTTTCGGTGAGGCGACCTCTCTCCTCATCAGGGTCGGGCTGCAGGGTACGATGCTGGCGAAGATGCTCTTCAGCACCTTCTCGGGCGACCCGCGGTACAGATGGGGCAACGCAGCGCTGCTTACGCTCTCGCTGGCACCGGCGTTCATCCAGCTCGGCTTCGACCGGGTCCTCGACTGGATGGCAGACAGGGAGGAGGCGACGTACGTCGACCAGACGCCGGTGCGTGTCGAGCAGGCGACGAGGGCGTTCGCGACCGACTCGCAGTTCACACTCGAGCTGGTCCTTTTCGGCCTGAAGGACTGGGTGCTCGCGCAGTGGGAGACGGCGCGGAAGGAGATCATTCGTCGCCAGCTGGAGTACGCCACGAGGGCTCAGAACGGTGCGGAGGCAGTTTACACTCTGCTGATGAGTGTGGTCAAGTACGGCTTCTACGCGCTGCTCGCGACGCAATCAGTTCCGACCTCTTTCACGCTCGGCGCTCTCCACGCGCAATCGGAGATGAGCGAGGATCTGCTCTACGCCGTCAACGAGCTGAAGGATTGTTGCCAGGGCGTCGCCCAAATCCCCTACTACCTCGCCGCGTTCGTTGCCGCGACGGACGACCAGGAGCGCCTCGGCCCGCAGATTGACTACGAGGCGCACCGCATACCGGGTGGAATGCGCATCGAGGCCCAAGGCTTGGGATTCACATACCCTGGCGCCGAGAAGGCGACATTGCACGACATCAACCTGACCATCGAGCCGGGACAGACAATTGCGATCGTCGGCTCTAACGGAAGCGGCAAAACGACGCTCGTCAAGGCTCTCCTCGGCCTGCATGGTCACTCAGGCAGTTTGCGAGTAAACGGAACCGAGATTGCAGACTACGATCACACAACGCTGCACGCACGCATGTCCTGCCTCTTCCAGGACTACTGCAAGTATCAAATGAGCTTGCGCGTCAATGTTGGACTGGGCGATACGAACAAGATTGACGACGACCGCTCTGTTCTCCGTGCCATCAGGAGGGGAGGGGCTCGCCCCATCCTCGCCAAGGTCGGATTGGAGGGACAGCTGAACCCCTTCCAGCAGCCTCGCGAGTTGGGCCGCCGACGTCCCCGCAAGCGCCGTGACTCGACCGCTCCGCCTCCAAAGGATGGCGCAGACATCACCGAGCCTGGAACACCCCTGACGCCCGTGCCCGCCACACCTGCACCTGGAACTCCTGGGCCGGCGGACGTAGCTGACGCGGCCCCACTGACGCAGGAGGGACTCGACGCTGTCTCCGCCGCCGTGAAAGCCGATGCGCTCTCTTCGTCCGATGACGAGGACGCCATCGTTGTGCGTGAGCCCGTGCCCGGCGAGATCGATGCGGGCACCTGCATCTCCGGCGGGCAGTGGCAGCGCGTTGCGCTGTCGCGCGCATTCATGCGCAGCGAGAGCGCGGACCTCGTCGTGTTCGACGAGCCCTCGGCGAGCCTGGACCCGAAGGCCGAGAGCGAGCTGTTCGACCGCATCCACTCGCTATCGCGGCAGAATTCGACCACCATCTTCATCTCTCACCGCTATGCTACTGTCAAGCGGGCGGACAAGATCGCCTTCGTCGACCACGGCACCATTGTCGAGTTTGGCAGTCATGACGAGCTCATGAAGCAGCGCGGCAAGTACTGGGAGATGTACACGCTGCAGGCTGAAGCCTTCTTGTAGGTTGTTGCTAGCGCAAGCCCATCCTCAATCATCAGGATTCTTCTTGCCCTGGCTCAAAGAGATCTTTCCCTGTTGTACATTATGCAGACCCAACTCTCTGTCTCAGTTCGTCTCCTCGTTCCGTCTCATACATCTGTGATACGGTGTCCTCTTCCCAATAGACCCACTGCAACACGCGACTTCTTGCTGCCCACCGAATGCTCGGTAATCCCTGGAACCCTGCCTCTGTCGACGAACAGCACTAACGCATTCTGGCGTCGTTGGTAGCTCTCCCATTCTTACGTTGGCAAACGGCAGACTGAATTGGGATCGCAAGGCGCTTAATTGGCATCGGCGGATCCGTGGTCTGGCGCTCCTCCTCGCGCGTCTCGGCCCACTCAGGGCCCCGCCAAGCATAGGGACCGGACGGGTGTGGCGTCAGGTTGTCTGTGATTCCTGCGATTCTGCTCATTTTCGTGTCCGTGTTGTTCCTGCGGTGGGCCCTCGTAGCCGGGAAATGATGCATGTACGGGAACGTACGCAGGATTGTCTACCGGCGCGACTGCCTACTTCAGCCGGCTCCAGTAATCCATCAAGCGAGATACGAGCTGCCCGGCGCGTACATTCCTCCACTAACCATTCACGTACTCCTGTTTGCCGGCAGTCCCGGAAGAGCCGGATTGCCCTTTCGTTTACGGGCGTCGACGGACAATGCAGTGGGTCTGAGCGTGCTCGCGAGTGGAGCCAGAGCTCGAGCACAACAGGTCGTGCGACCGGTCACATAGGAAGGGGTCCAGGGGGCGTCGGCGGCCTGAGTGGTGGCGTCGTGGCTGCTGACCGCGAAGGGCCTTTGAGGAAGGAGCAGGTGACGCGCTCCTGTCTGTTCTATAAAGCCCACGCACGCTCAAGCGAGCAGATCTCCCGTCTCTGCTCTGACTGACACATCTACTGTTGTTCTCGCTACCACCTCTGCTACCACCATCATACCGCCCCAGTTCACGAAGATGAACGCCCTCGCCGCCCTTCTGTGTGCTGGTGAGTGTGCCCATTAGGCAAGGAGTTAACACCAGCCGCGCTCGTGCTCTCGCTCGTCGCCGCCCACCCAATCCCCGTCTACACCCACTCCGGCTCATCGGTCTCGGTCCCCGCCATGCCTGTTCTGCCTGACTCGGGTGCGATCTGGGACAGCATCGACACGTTCCGACAGAATCTCAGCGATCCGCGCTTCTTCACGATCGTCCTGTTTGTGATTGCGGTGCTGAATTTCCTCACGGTCGTACTTGCGCTCGTGCTCTACCGCGTCACGCGCCGCGAGCCCGAACCAACGCCGATGCCGCGCCGCGCTGTGCCGCACCTCCGCGCGGTCAGCGTAGACAGCTTTGACCTCAAGTCGGTGTAGGGTGTGGAGCTTGTTCATTGCATCACTACGTGACAAGGACACTACCGCACGGACACTCTCGCTCTCGACTTGCTCGAATCGGACACTTCTCAACTCTCATCTCTCGGAACAATACTCGCACCCGGTCACCGGACACTCGCATCTGAACCATTACTTGTCGACTCAATCTACCCTACAGCTGGTTAATTCTCTGGATCTGTGTGTATACCAACATGTAACTGTTGTACTCGCCCGTGGTGATAGCGCAGACACAGAAGTGTCTCAGCAGACTTTGACATACTGACAGCCTCGTGACGGAACAACAACCGAACCGTGAGTCGCACTTGTCGAGCTATACAACTCTGAAGCGGGGTCCAAGACTCCGGCCACTGCTCAGACGCGCTCCACTGACAGAGCAGCTCTAACAGCCCTCATCACACTGCATGTCATCTTTCAACCGCGTTTTACTTTGGAAACTCTCGCCACGGTCAGCCCTAGTGATATCTCTCCCAGAGTAGCTTTGATAATCGCACCCTGCTTTCAGACATTGCATTATTAACATAAATTCAAAACAACTTTGTGGTACTGCTTAACAACTTTCGAAACCCCCGTTCTAAGAACGCCCACAACTTAAGTCACGTACTCGAACTCCTTGTTCTCAAGGTCCGTCAGGTCCAGCTCTCCATTGACCTGAGCACGGAAACGACGCTCCTCCTCGCTGATTCCCTGCGAGGCGAAGAACTGCGCCCGCTTCCGGTTCGTCCTAACGTAATACCACCACCATCCACCCGTGATAAAGATCGAAGCGATCAGGCAGATCGCGCAGCCAATCAGTCCCCGGTGGTACTTGGGGGCATCAGAGGGCAGGAAGATCTGTTTGTCAGTAACGACTCTACCTTATGCACGAGCGACTTACCTGCGAGCCAATGACGTTGCCAATGCAGTACACGATCAGCGAAGAACCACCAAAGAACGACTTCTTGGTCCTTCCGGCGACGTTCATGGAGATCATCGGCCAGGCAGTAATGAAGGTGGCGATAGAGTAAACCAGGCAGAGCAGCCAGACGCCCCAACGGGCCCAGCGGCCCACCTCGGCAAGGCCCACGAAGAGGAGCACAAACGCGGTGATACCCTGATACAGGATGGCGAGGGGGAAGCGGAGTTTGGGATAGTAGCGGACGCCGACTGCCGAGGCCACGACGATCACGAAAGTCACTGCGTAGCCCGGCAGCTGGTACAGAATAGAGTCGAGATCGTTGAAACCGAAGCCCTTGTACACGAGTGTGTTGAAAACCTGAGCGTCAGACTGCTCTCTTTACAGGTATGACCGAAGGTGCAATGGTCAAAGACGTACAGTGATAGCTCCGTTGGGGATGTTTCCGGCCAGGGCGAACAGCATGGCAAACCTGGGTGAAGTCAGCATGTGTTCCTAAGCTCAAGGAGGTGGGGCGCCTTCATGCGAAGCGCAGAGGAAGTTGGCCTGGGTCGATGGGCCAAGCGGCCTTGCCCGGAGCGTTGACGGCGCCACGGCAGTGCCCCCGTCGATCACGAGTGGCACCGGGCACGATGCGTCATCCCTCCGTGAAGCGGTTGCGAGTGCCACCGCTAGCATCTCCGCACCTTAAAGCACTGCACGCGGCTCTGCTGTGTAACACCCCATCATTCAGAGAATGCACTTACCAGTACTGAGGGTCTCTGAAGCACTCCCTGACCTGGTGCCACTTCCACGGGTGCTGGGTCGATCCGGTCGCGTTCTCAACAATGCGCGCCTTGGCCATACGCTTCTCGCGCTTGGACAGCCACCAGACCTCATCGGGAGTGCCGCCAAAGATGAAGAAAAGAACGCCCATGCCGATAGTGACGCCGCCGAGGAAGAAGTTGATGACGCGCCATCCCGAAAGGCCGCCGTTCTCTTGCGCATTCTTGCCGATGTAGTAGATTCCAACACCGAAAACCATAGCGAAGAAAGTGTTCATCGAGTAATAGAGTCCCTGGCGAAGACTCTGCTCGCGTCGAAGCCACCACGTAGAGGTGAAGATGGCGAAACCGGGAGTTCTGAGGAAGGTCAGTCGAAAATAGACAGAAATAGACAAAAATCCCATTTCTCACTCACACGACGGCCTCAAACCAGCCCAGAAGGGTGCGCACGCCGGCGAGCTGCGCGTAGTTGTTGCATACGCCGAGACAGAGGACCACGACGCCCCAAATGATGACACAAACGGCCAGACCTCGTCCGAGTGGGACCTTCTGCAGAACCCAGGCCATTGGATACTGAGCCACAGCATAGGACATGTAGAAAAAGCTGGACAGGTTACCGAACTCATTGCCCTTCAAGTGTGTGTCCTCGCGGAGGCCGAAAACGACACCGGACGAAAGACTCGTCTTGTCGGAGAACTGCAGACCATAGACTGGAAGTTAGTCTGATGCCACTGCCATGTGCTCTTTGACGCTAGCAGAACCGCGTCAGGGGCGGAGCGGAAGCTGATGCGGAAGCAGGTGCAGACGCGTAGGAGACCGCGCAGTGCAGGGGTATACTCACTGATCATGAGCATGGGCATGAGGATCAGGTCGACCTTGAGCATGAGCTTCTTGTACTCCTGGGGCGTGAACTCGTCATGGTCGTGCACGAGCTGCTCCGCGTCGTTGGCGGCGGGGTCGTGGATGGAGATGCCACCGTTGTCCTTCGGGTGGGAGTGCTTCGAGTCGACGGGCTCGAGGCGGAGCTCATCAACTTTCTCGAACTTCTCGGTCATGGTGGTGCTCGACTCCACCGGCGGTGATAAGGGCGCAGAACGAGATAAACAAGCGATACCTGGGGAAGCGCCGTTTACATCTGGGTTATAAGGGGGGCGCACATCGATTGCGACACTCGCATGCAGCTGGCCCATGGAGCGGAGAGCAGACATCCTCGGCCCGTCCGCTGGGAACCGTCCACTGCCGCTATTGAGGTGGGCACGCCATCAGCTCTCGTATCGCGCGAGAGTTATCTCTCGGAGCGACGGTGGGCCAGTCGCATCGCGTCGTCGGGCAGCTCCAATCGTGCCTTGCAGCGGACCTGGGATTGTCTCATCAGAACTCAATCCCGTTCGTCACCTTGGTTTACCCCGCGTTGTTCCCCGCATCCACCTCAGATCCAGCCGGCACCGTCCGGCAAAACGCCAAGTTTCGCTGGAAGCCCACGGGGACGCACGTGAACTGAGGACTGATGCCCAGGGGCGGTTTTGATGGCGCTGTGGCTGCAAGTGTGACATAGGGTTATCCGATAATTAGCGGCTTGATCGCGAGTGGGCAGTCTCGATGCACCAAACCAGCAGTCATGTGTTCACGCTTGACCCCGCCAGTTTTCCAATTGCGGCTACTCGCCAAGCATGGTCGCGCGGAGTCTGGAGGGAAGATTCCGAGCCGGAATCCAAATGATACTCGCGGCGCCGAGGGCCCCGCTCGGCGCCGTCAGGGCGGAGATCTTTGCGCTGCGTATATTTAGCACTTTTGGCGGCAATTTGCCCACCCTCACTGCGCGGAGATCTCCTAGGTAATCGTCATTCCCACGAACTGCTCACACGAGCGCCGATAAGCATGTTCACTATCTTGACGGACGACGACGATCTGCATTCACTGATAGACGGACGCCTGGGAGGGAGCGGCTTTATCGGTCTGGCTTAGTCGCAGGGTCGGTGACTTATCGGAAGAATTGCAGCAACCCTGCTCCGCACCGTAATCTGACTTTCCGCCTCGAGGCTTGCAAAGCAGCTGGAACGCGATTGGAAGGACGTTGCCGCAAACCGCTCCGGGGCCAGGCGTTTGCAGGCGAGCGAGTCGGCGCTGCCCACTTCTCAGATCGAGTGGGAGCGGCGCAGTGACCGCCCCATGGGGTTATACGCGGCGTCTAAACGCATTCATTGTAGCACGTGGACAACTGTCCTCCTTCACTTCGCTTTACCCGGACTCTATTCAGATCTAGACCTTCTCCAGACCCCTCTCCTTGATCTCCTGAATGTCAGAGTCAACGTCCTCAGTCACCGCTGTGGGCTCCGGATCGACGTTCTCGAGGTACTTCCAGAATGCGTAGCCTAGTGGGACCAGCGAGAGAATGGCAACGGCGCCATAGCAGATGCCCAACGTAAGGTAATTCGGGCTCATCCTACCGTCAGCGGAGCCACCGGTTAGAACTCACGTTTGGATGCCGAACGCCAGACACAGGCCTGTACCCTGGAGACCCTTGAAGATGCCAGAGTAGTAAGTCATACGGCGCGAGCCCTCGGACGCCAGCATCGAGAAGTAAAACACGAGCACGACGTGGTAGGCTAAATGTCAGTGACGTTGCACAGGTGTACTCACTCGGATAGGACAAGCCGAAGATGAGGTAGACGACGAGGCCCTTGACATACGCGGTGCCGTCGGCCCAGTCAATGACCTCAATCTTGTTCTTCATGCTAGCCGACTCGATGTTGAGGCCCTGCCAGAGGTAGTAACCGAACCAGGATGCACAGACCATAACGAACAGGGTGCAGAATCCTGCAGCCCCACGCTGGCGGTTCGTCCATCCCTTTCGGTCGAGGAGGCGGGAGAGTGCCTCCGCCGCCGGAATCTGGATCGCCCAGTACAGAAGTGTGTTGAGGGATCGAGCGCGGAGGGAGAAGTTGCGGGCATTGTACGAGCCGACGAACACGAGCCAGAAATCGGAGGAGAACATGGCCAGAGCGACCAGCAGGACTTTCGGCGACACCCATGTGCCAGCCATTTCACGCAGAGTCTGCATGAAGCTCAGGTCGCCCATGATCATGCTGCCGGCGGGGATCGTGCTCCCGTCCTTGGTCTTGACGCGGTCACTTGGCAGAATGAAGAAGAATGCGGCGAGTGCAGCACAGAGATGGATCGCGAGCCATGCGCCGAGCACGCCCTGGCTCACGCCTGCCGCTTTGCTCTTGTGGATGTTGGCGCCGAAGGCGACCGCTGCTCCTACCAGACTGCCGCTCGCGAGACCCAACCATTGGTTGTTGATGAAGTGGCCTTTCTCCTTGCGGGTCGCATATGCCATGGAGATGTACGTCGTGGACACCCAGACGAGCGAGCTTCCCATGCCCCAGTAGACTGACAGCACGAGTGGGAAGGCCATCTCACCGCGCGCCTGGAAGTACATGAGACCGGCGATGTAGACCGCATAACCCGTAGGACCGATGACGAGGAACCAGCGCACATTGCAGTAGCGAAGGATCAGGGGGACGAAGAAGGAGCATACGCCGAAGACGCCGTTGCCCAGGCTGTTTTGGATACCGGAAAGTAGAGCGCTGTTTGCTTGTCCACCACCGGCTCCGAGACCCGTGATGGCCAGGTAGATACTGAAAAGTCAGTCGCGTCGACCTTGATCACGTACCCAGGCGCAGCGCCGAGGATTGCGCTTGCCACCCAATTTTGGGCGCGAGCACTAGCTAAGAAGGGGATGTTAGGGGGAAACAGCATGGTGCTTGCAGCAGAACCAGGGTTCGTGTTCTGTCAATAAGTACATCAGCATATGCGGGAGAAAGTTTGCTCCGGGGGGGCATCAGGTGGGCCATGCCCAGAGCGGTATCTGAGAGAGGCGAGCATCTGAACATCAGCAGCTCGAGTCGGAGAGCTCCACGGCACGACGGCCAAGACCGAAGCAGGCCCGCGAGAGTCCTCCGCGTCTCTGCCTTTGATAGCTTATCACGGGCGTGTAGAGTTAGATATCGGTCGACCTTGCTATGCGGAACTCCTTCGGATCTTGATTCCTTGGACGGAAAGGGAGCGGTGTCTTGGTCGTCGGAGCGTATAAACGCGCCCACCTGCGACCAACACATGGACCCATCTGATCCCGCGTTTCTTTCCACTCGCAGTATCTCGGCCCGAACAACCGGTAGATTCTTGCCCCGAAGTCACGTGCTTCTGATGGCCGGCATCGACGTCTCTCACTACGAACTTCGAGCCTGGGAAAGTGGCCACGACAGATAGACGTTTAGCTCGGGGCCTGAACGTCAGAGCGAGCCTCACTTCCAGAAGATCGCGCACCTGCACCCTCGGTGTGACGCCGACCTCTCTCATGCCGCTCGCCTGTCTTGGACCCTAATAAGCTTCACATGCTCCATCGCACTCACAAGACAGGTCTCAGGCAATTCTGTCGGCATTTACGCTCAACCATACGGTACGGCACGGGTGGGTCTGCGTCATCGACGCTCGCTTCAGACCTTCCAGCTGCTCCAGAGGTCCGGAAGCAACTGTTGAAACCTGCCTCTTTTGGTAGTACTTGTGATATTCTCTGCAAGCGAAAGAGAAATGGAAGGTCTCGGCGCCCCCATGGTGGGGCACAGCGAGTAGCAGTCGGTCCCAGGCCGGCATGAAATCGGAGAAGCAAGGCTGAACGTTGCAGAAGTCAATCAAAAGTTCCCACGGACATGAAAATCGGAGGAAGAAATGACCTACCGTTCACGGCATAAACCCTTAGGTTCTCATTTACCTCAGAGCAAGAACTTGGCCAGTCACTTGGCATGCACCGTCGCAGCTCAGGGCTGTGAATGTCACGCATGTGTTGATGGAATAAGTGTGTTGATTGCTTCTGATATGTCCAGGCTGCATGTTCTCACCCTCGGAGCGAGCTCCGTTGCAGAAGAGCACATCCGAGCGCAGTATGGAACCAGCCATCGGATGTTGGGTGACGTCGGTGCGCCTCCGCGGCGTCACGTGTGCCTTGTCCATCGCTATCTCGGTAGTTTGCGAGGCTCGGCCTAGCTTCGGAGCCAAGGTTTCCAATAAACCGTCTCATTCCTCCTGCGCGCTAAGATGCACCTCTCTGACAATTACGATGCAAAAGTACGTATGTTCGTACAAGAAGACTAGCTCGGACTGGACCGTGGGATCTATTTCACGTAGAGAGTAGCGACCCTTATTCTGAACTTTCAATCAACCACTCTCGGCTCGCGGCTCGGCCGATCGGCGTGACACCGAACTCGCCGATACGCTTCATGCTTCACATGCTCCATCGCATGCAATGTACCTACGTACCTGCTCCAAGAGTCTTGCCCTGCCGCCCGTCACATGAGCCGGCATCAGACCGCAGCAAGCGCCCCCGGACTTATTGTGCGGGCCCCTCGTGCGGCCCCTCGGCGACCCCCGACCTGAGTACCAGAGCCGTACGACAAGAGCCGTAACATCCGAGCTTACTACGTCACTTGACGACCGGCGTTCCAGTTCTCGCACATCGGTCAAACATGGTCCCCAGATCGCGCTAGCGACGATGGCTATATATGTTGATGGGCAGCTAGTGCGTTTCCCCCAATACCAATCTCTGCGACATGCTGTGGTCGCTCATCCCCCATCTTACACTTGCGGCGGCGCAGGTGGTGATCCCCTCGCCTGTCGAGCACACCGGCGATGCCGACGCTTGTCAGGGCTACGTCCTGAAAGTGACGCAGAGCGACTGCGGCCTGGATGGCGAGCTCACGCTGAAGGGCAAGTGCGGCGCATTCGGCCCCGACTATGAGAAGCTCAAGCTCACGGTGCGACACGATAACGACGACCGGCTTCGCGTGCACATTGCCGATGCGGAGGGAAAGGCGCACGTCGTGCCCGACGACGTGGTGCAGGACGGCTGGCCGAAGCTCGAAGGCCAGGGGCAGCGCGAGTCCAACCTGCAGTTCGACTACACCGAGGATCCCTTCACTTTCAAGGTGACCCGCAAGTCGGACGGAGAGGTCATCTTCGATACGTCCGGCCAAGCCCTCATCTTCGAGGAGCAATATGTCCGCGTGAAGAGTGCCCTCGCCGAGGGCTCCAACATCCAGGGCGCGGCGCAATCCTCGGACAACTTCACTCTCCCTATCACTGAGGAGGGCTACGTGCGCACCCTCTGGAACAGAGACGCCTATGGTGTTCCTGGGCGCACAAACCTGTATGGCTCGCACCCCATCATCGTCAACCAGAAGGTCGGTGAGAACCCGTCCGCGTCCGGCGTGTTCCTCCTGAACTCGAACGGCATGGACATCAAGTTCCCCGAGCAGGGCAAGTACATCGAGTACAACACGCTTGGAGGTATTGCCGACTTTTTCTTCTTGAATGGCCCGACCCCGGCCGATGTGTCCCGCCAAGCGGCCGCCATCTGGAAACCCTCACCTATGGTTCCGTACTGGAGTCTCGGTTTCCACTCCTGTCGCTACGGCTACGAGGACATCTTCGAGGTCGCCGAGGTCATTGCCAACTACTCTGCGGCCGGTATCCCGCTCCAGACCCAGTGGATGGACATCGACTACATGTACGAGCGCTGGATTATGACTCTGGACCCTCCCCGATTCGCTCTCGACAAGGTCCAGTATGTTATCGACCATCTGCACAACAACTCCATGCAGTTTATCGTGATGGTGGATCCTGCGACTTTCTCAGGCATGCCCAGCTTGTCGGCTGAAAATTACGAGGCTTTCCAGTCCGGTCTTCAGCAGAAAGCTTTCCTCGCCTACGACGACGGCAACATTTACCAAGGCGTCGTTTGGCCCGGCCCGACGGTCTTCCCCGACTGGACCGCCGAGGGCACCCAGGGCTGGTGGGACTCCGAATTCATGCGATTCTTCAACACCGAGAACGGCGTTAACGTCGACGGCATCTGGCTAGACATGAATGAAGCGGCAAATTTCCTTCCGCATATCGAGGTGCGTTTTGTCGCGTTCTCTGTGCAAAAAATGGAGTCGAAAGACGAAGATTTGCGGTGTAGAGAAGCAAAAATGTGGAAATCTCGTGGGGAGAGGTTCGGGTGGATGAGGTGCCACTCCGGCCGGATGTAGGGTCACGTGGCGGATATACTCCCGTCCCTCACGTGACATTTTCGGCCACTGTGCCTGCCCTTCACCCGCAGGACCGGCCCTGCGTTTCAGGCGCTAGCTGGTGCCTATTCCCCTGATCAGCGGATGTGTGAGACACGTAGGACGCGTCGCAGGAGACGAGGGTAGCAGAGAGCAAATCTCCGTGCGAGAACACAGCGCTGACAAACAGGCGAACATCTACCGCATCTCAAAGGAGCGCGAGGCTCCGCCCGTCCGCAAGCTCCCCCGCACGATCCCGCGCACCATCGAGGACTTCCCTCGCTTTGAGGCCGGCAAGAACATCTCTGAGCCATGGGGCGAGGGCCAGCCGCAGTCTGGTCCCGAGCAGGTCCTCGGCGGACAGGGTGGCTCGATGATGGAGAAGCGCCAGAACGACAACTCGTCCGGCAACTACCCCGAGTCAGACGCCGACTTCATGTCTGCTGGCCTCGACTCGCAGTGGCTCTACCCTCCGTACCGCATCAATGACCGCCGCGCACCCCCCTCGACTGGTGGAGGTGCCGACCTTGGTATCAAGAATATCTCCGACTTCACTGCACGCACAGACATCGTCCAGGGCAACGGAGTCCGGATGTATTCCGAGCACAACCTGTACGGCTCGCGTCACTCGATCGCGACGCGCAACTCGCTGCTCAAGCGTCGTCCGAACCACCGGCCCTTCACTGTTGCACGTGCTTCGTACTCTGGCACGCCGTCTGCCGTGTGGATGGGTGACAACATCGCGACCTGGGAGCAGTACATCAGCACGATCCCGCAGATGCTGTCACTCACGGCAGTGTCAGGGATCGGCGTTGTTGGCGCGGACAGTTGCGGCTTTGGTGGAAACACGACCGAAACCCTGTGCGCACGCTGGGCCTGGCTCGGCGCATTCAACACCTTCTACCGCAACCACAACGAGATCAGTGCCATCTCGCAGGAGTTCTACCGCTGGCCTATCACCGCCGAGGCGGCCAGGAACGCGGGCAAGGTCCGTCTCCAGCTCCTCGACTACCTCTACACGGCCGTGCACCAGCACTCGGTCGACGGTACCCCTACCGTTTGGCCCGTTTCGTGGGTTCACCCCCAGGAGGCGGAGAGTGTCAAGATCGAGACCCAGTTCTACTTTGGCCCCAGCATCCTGGTTGCTCCCGTCGTGCACGAGAACTCGACCTCGGTCGATGTCTGGTTCGCCCCCGGTGAGACATTCTACGACTACTTTACGCTTGCCGCGACCCAGGGTGAGGGATGGAAGAAGCTGAACGACGTCGGCTACGAGACCATGCCCGTCTACATCCGTGGTGGCAGCGTGGTGCCCCTCCGCAAGGGAGACGCCATGACGACTGAGCAGAACATGCAGCTTCCCTTCGAGCTGATCGTCACCCCGGGTAAGGACGGCAAGGCGACGGGTGCCCTCTATGCGGATGACGGCGAGACCCTTGACTCTGAGTGCAGTGACATCCACTTCGAGTTTGACGGAAGCAAGTTGTGCATCAAGGGCTCGTACAACCACCCCGTCCACCTCTCGTCAGTGGTCTTTGCGGGCCAGGACAAGGGCCGGGACTCCAAGGTGTATGGCCCCAAGGTCCACGGTCAGGGCTGTGAGACACAGTTTGACGAGGCGAAGAAGACTGTCACCGTTAAGGTTGACCTCAAGCTTGACTGTGACCTTACCATTGAATTGTGTTAGGTAGCGCAGGCTTAGAAGTGGAGCAAATCAAGGATGCTTAAGGATGTGTTTTACCTTGATGCTAGTTGGAACAAGTCATTTTATGCAACAATGTTTGGAAGCATCGGGACCCCGGGATTTACGGTCGCGGGATGTCGTAAAGAAGCAATTGACTAGGCGGGATGGTCCTGTTGCGGGACACGGTGGCACACGCTATCCGCGCTTCCTCCCCTTGGCTGCACGCGATTTGGCGGGAGTCCGGCAGCGGCAGTGGCACTCTGCGTGAGGCTGATCCCAGCAGCGCGGGTGATCTGATTTCCGCCTGTACGAGAGATGTTCTGGCTCTGCATTCGAGCATCCCGAGCGTTCCGTTCATTCAAGGCAGTCACAGGGCAAGCAAGATGTGTTGGGGCGGACAGTTGCAAGATCCACTGTTGCGGAGACTGGCATCCCTGATGCACGGCGCGGTAGCCCACACGACTGACGAGTATATAACTTGATGACTCTAGACTGGTCGTTCTTCATCGCTTCTCCCTCCTCGCTCTTCTTTCTCTAAACCCCCTTTCCCAACGAAGCGATGAAGTTCCTCGCCGCCGCTTCTATCCTGGCTGCCGCCGCCTCGGCACTCCCCACCCTCGTTGAGATCGACCCCCGTGGTCAGACTCAGTGTGAGAAGGGCAAGCCCCGCACTGTTTCGATCGTCATCGACTCCTCGGGCTCGAACAAGGACAACGACCCTAAGGACCGCCGTCTTGACGCCGCCTCCGCCATCAACCACTACCTCGACGGCGGCGACCGCGTTGCGGTCACCAAGTTCGGCCCCCGCGCCGAGACCATCTACAAGCTCGGCGCCCCTGGCGCTGGTGTTGACAGCGCCATCCGCCGCATCTACGCCAACGGTGGCACCAATGTCTACCAGGGTCTCGAGGCTGGTTTCGATCAGCTCTGGAACGCCCACGACAACTCGGCCCTTGTCATCTTCACTGACGGCCTTGACGACCCCGCCAGGCCCCAGGACAAGTCCAAGAAGCTCGCTGCCCTCGCCCAGGCTAAGCAGCAGGGTATCCGTGTCTCGTGGGGCCACCTCAGCTACCCCACCACCAAGACCAAGCAGAAGGGTGGCCTGATCGGTGCCATCTGGGACATCATCACCACCGGCCACAACAACGGCAAGACCACCGAGATCATCCCCGGCCCCATCATCGACGCCGACATCTCGGCCGCTGCCCTCGCCACCGGTGGTTCCGTCGCTACTCTCTCTGACGCCGAGGCTTTCAACAAGTTCGTCGAGACCATCATCAAGAACGGTCTGACCAACAACGACGCCGCGTGCACTGGCGGCAACGACATTGACGAGTCCGGTGGCCCCATCAACAACAACATCACCTCGTACGGTCTCTGCTCCAACAACGCCGCTGCCACCTTCACCTACAAGGCCGAGAAGAAGGAGAAGCTCGCCGTCACCGTTGAGCTCGTCTCCACCAAGAACAAGGTCCAGCTCGCTGCCACTCTCGAGAACAAGGCTACCGGCGTCAAGTCGTCCGTCACCGTCAACGGCGGCAACCCCTCGCAGATCCTCACTGGCGCCGCTGAGCCCGGACAGGACATTGTCGTTCAGATCAACCCCTCCGGTGCCTCTGACGACCAGTGCCAGTACACTGTCAAGCTTAACGTCATCCCCGAGGACATTGCTTCGTCGCTCTCCCTCTCGCCTTCGCCTTCCGCTACCCCCTCGTCGTCGGTGACCCCCTCGTCGTCGGCTACCCCTTCGTCGTCTGCTACTCCCTCGTCGTCGGCTACGCCCTCGTCGTCTGCTACTCCCTCGTCGTCGGCCACCCCTTCGTCTTCGGCCACCCCTTCGTCTTCGGCCACTCCCTCGTCCTCCGCCACCCCTTCGTCTTCGGCTACTCCCTCGTCGTCGGCCACCCCCTCTTCCTCGGCCACCCCTTCTTCGTCGGCTTCCCCTTCGTCGTCTGCCACGCCCTCTTCTTCGGCCACTCCCTCGTCGTCGGCTACGCCCTCTTCGTCGGCTACTCCCTCTTCGTCGGCCACTCCTTCCTCGTCGGCCACTCCTTCGACTTCGGCCACTCCCTCGTCGTCGGCCGGCCCCGAGCCCACCACCTCGTGCCCCGCTCCCCCCGAGGCCTCCACCGCCACCGTCACCTCCACTGTGATCCAGACCGTCACCGCGCCCGCTCCCTCGGCCACCGCCTCGGTCTGTATCTGCAAGTGTGACGCCCCCGGCGCCAAGCCCATGCCCAAGTTCGAGCTCTAAGCGCGTCCTTGCTCAGCATTAGCTTGCATTCTTCAGAAGTCTCTAACGACTAATGCTCTATACCACCATAATTTTAGATAGTTTTTGCGCTGCACACTCCCGTGCGCGCCTTACAGATAGCGAGGACACTTTCATGGATACTTTTCTCTAGCTCAAGAGTGCCCAGCGTGCCCAAAGTGGTGCCCAGATTGCCCAGAACGCGGCAGACTCAGAGCTTGAGCTTCTTCGCCGGAAGGGCGCGGCGAGCACACCAGAGACCACGCTGAGCACGCACACAAGGAAGCGCGCACATGCCCGTCCCGCCGCGCCGGCATCCCAAGGCACATACGGCACAAACGGCATTCACGGCATCGCCTGCGCCGCTTGCGGTAATGTGGTGGGCACACAGAGCTGCAGAGGTGCAGGCAGGTTACAGACGTCTGGAACAGGATGCATGCTTCCGTCATTCCGAGCCATGATCGCTCCTGACCGAGGCTTTAATTTGGGAAATCCCGGCATAAGACAACAATGCGGTGCATTCTAAAGCCCATGGACGTTATGGACGCAAGACTCGGCGCGCCTGGGTGTAACGCTGGCCAGCATGGCCAGGCTGGGCGGGCTGGGCTATTCTACTGACTATTCGATCTACTTCTGATCTAAGAATGGATACTCTGGGATGGAGGGGGCGGGGAATTAACGTTATCAGCCCCCCATTGTGAAGGGACTGCGGATATGGAATAGGGATGGAAGGGGCCGAAGGGACGTCGAAGGGACGTCGAAGGGAAAGACAGGGTCGCAGCGAGGGGTAAAGGGATGAGACGGGAGGGGTGGCGGAGAGATTCCGAGAGGAGGAGGACAGTCGCGAAGAACGGGAAGCGGCGTTGCTGGCGAATGGCGGAGATGATATACCCGTTGTCACGTGAAAGTCGCGTGTAGAAAGCGAGGATGTCGCGTGTCGTGGTGGAGCCGAATGCCGAGCGAGGACGGGGAACTGAGCAGCGGGGTTCCGTTGTGATCGTCGCGAGATCGGCAAGCAAGGATGTGCTCAGCAAGCCGCATGCCGCCCTGCCAGCTTAGAGGTTGGCCGCAGCGGGCACGCCGCGCCAAACGGCGTCGGCCTCGGGTGCGAGTCCGTATTCCCAGAACCAGTCCGCAGCCTTCTTAACCATCTCCTGCGAGCAGACGTGACCCATGTCCGGCTGGATCCAGAACTGGACGTCGCCGCGGTTCTCCTGCATGATCTCCCTCAGCTTGTTCTTGCCGAGAGCGTAGGGAACCATGGCGTCCGCTGATCCGTAGAGGCAGAGGATCTTCTTGCCCCTGTAGGCCCCTGGGGCAGTTGGCTCGGCGTACCCCTCCCTCACTCCTCGCGGGTGAGGCTTCTCCTTTGTGCCCAGAAGCCCCTCGCGTTCGCTCGCGATCGTGAGTAGCGTACCGAGCCGCTCCGGCGGGATGGAGATGATGGGCACACCGACGCGCACCCTCGGGTCGCTGCGCAGGATACGCCACATGACGTGCCCACCCATGCTGACGCCGGAGACCATCCAGCGGTCGACCGTTCGCTCGTCGGTGGGCCAGAGGTAGGAAGGCAGGAAGTCCATCACCATTGTGTAGTCCTGGACGCCGCCCTGGACGACAGTCAGCATGTCTGCTGGCCGCATCGCGTCGCGATAGCTCGGCATGCACTTGGGGTTAACGCGGCGCTGCCCGTGGTTGCGCTGGTCGAGGCAGACAACGAGCAGGTCGTGCGTGGCGCCTGGCCGGCGGCTCTCGCCGATCAATCCGCTGGCCATCGCACCCATCTGCGCGGCCTTGTTCGCCCAGCCGTGTGCGAGCAGGACGACGGCGACCGGTTTCGTCGAGCCCTCGATCTCAGCGAGTCCGTGCACATGCACTCGCAGGTCAGCGAGAAAGACCTCCTGGTGCGACGCCAATGGGTGACCGAGAGACAAGTTGCCGAAGTTCATCACATGAGCAGGGTCCTGCGAGTTGGCCTTGCGCGCGTCCGCGCCAGCCTTGTCAGTCGGCGTGGGCTCATCGTTGGGCGAGATGTAAGCAATGGCGGACGGGTCCGAGATGTTGTCCTCGCCAGAAGGTGGTGCGTGTGTTGTCGCCATTGTGTGTGGGTGCGTAAGCCGGTGCTTCTCAGTCAGCAATGGTGTGCTTGTTAGTTAGCGAGATCTCCAACTTTTGAAGTCGGATTACTCAACGGGCGGCGTACGGCGGCGGCATGCGCCGTTAGTGGGCCGGCTTTACTCCACCCGGCACGACCGGCAATCATCTTCTGGCTCCTGATTTCTTGGGGGCCGTCGGCCATCACCGAGCACTGAAATTTAAGCCAGCGTTGGCGTCATCATCCGCCGCCTTATCCTCTTGGTCCTCCCGTTTGTTCTTCTTTGTCTCCCTCCCTCTACCTCACCAACGACACGGACACCATGGCCCCTGCTCTCTTCACCCCCACCAAGCTCGGCGCTTACACGCTCAAGCACCGCGTCGTCCTCGCCCCGCTGACCCGCAACCGTGCCGACCCGAAGACGCTCGTCCCCTCCGACATGGCGATCGAGTACTACAAGCAGCGCGCGTCCGACGGTGGACTGCTCATCACCGAGGGCGCTTTCATCTCCGCCGAGGCTGGCGGCATCGCCGGCGCCCCCGGCATCTTCTCGGACGAGCAGGTCGCCAAGTGGCGCGAGATCGCCGACGCCGTGCACGCCAAGGGTGGCCGTATCTTCATCCAGATCTGGGCTCTCGGCCGTACCGCCAACCCCGCCCTCGTGCCCGTCGTGTACGGCCCGAGCGGCGAGCCGTACGTCGCCAACCCGAAGAAGCCCGTCCCCGTCCCCGTCAAGGCGATGACCGAGGAGGACATCGACCGCTTCGTCGCCAACTACGCCAAGGCGGCCAAGAACGCGATCGCTGCTGGCTGCGACGGCGTCGAGATCCATGGCGCCAACGGATACATTGTCGACCAGTTCCTGCAATCTGTCAGCAACAAGCGCACCGACTCGTACGGCGGTGACATCAACGGACGCACGAAGTTCCCGCTGCGTGTGCTCGACGCCGTCTGCGAGGCCATCGGCCCCGAGCGCGTCGGTATCCGCATGTCGCCCTTCGGCATTGTGCAGGGCATGCGCGAGAAGGTCCCCCTCGACACGTTCCTCCCCTACGCCAAGCTCATCGTCAAGCACCAGCCCAAGCTCGCGTACGTCCACGCCGTCACGCCGCGCACGTACGGCACGACCGACATGCCCGAGAACATGGTCGTGAAGGATGACGACCTCGAGCCCATCCGCCGCGTCGTGCGCGACGCCGGTATTGCCTTCATCTCGGCCGGCGGGTACCGCCCCGAGGGCGCGCTCAAGGCTGCCGAGGACACCGGCGACCTCATCGGCATGGGAAGGTACTTCATCTCCAACCCCGACCTCCCCGCGCGCATTGCCCACGAATGGGACCTCACCAACTACGACCGCAAGACGTTCTACACGAACGGCGCGCACGGCTACATCGACTACCCGACGTACAAGGGCGAGACGGCCAAGCTCTAATGCAGCAATGTTGACGAGAGGCAATGACACAGGATACTTAGACTGCAGATTTAGAAATGTATTCACATATGTTCAGTACTTCTTCACCGGCCGCGTACACTTTCTACGACAGTCGTGTGAGTCTCTGCTCGAGCGTCATGATCTGAGCCCTGAGCTGCTGATTCTCGCGCCTGAGCTGAGTACGCTGCTGCCTGACCTCCCTGAGGCCCTGCACCCTGGCCCTCTCCGCCTCCAACTCCTTGTGCAGCGCGTCAAACTCCCTCGTCAGGTCGTTGTAGCGCTGGCGGGCCTCAGCGATGGTCTCGGTGGGCTGAGATGTCGTACCAGCAGAGGGCTCAACATTGGGCTCGACCGTAGCCTCAGCTTCAGCCTGCACGGCGCGATCCTGCACAGCGCGCTCGACGCGCTCCTCGCTGTCGGCCGACGAGTCCCTGTCAAGCTGTGCCGTTTCGCCGGACACGGGGGCAGGCGTCGGCGTCACCGGTACGGGAAATGGAAGATCCAATAACGGGATCACTGGCGCGACAAATGCCTCGTCAATCGCGGACATGGTTCGCTCCAGCTCCGTTCCGCTTAGCAGCATCGGTGGGTCTGTATCAGACGAAGACGACGACGCCGCAGACGACGATGAGTCCCACCCGTCCTCCCCTTCGGAACCCGAAGACGAGGACGCAGAGGAGCCCGGCATGGGCGACTGGGGCGTCAGGCCACTCGACTCCATCGCCGGGACAGGGAGCGACTCAGACTCGGACTGAGAAGGCGTCGGCGAGGAGCTGGGATGTCAGCTGAGGTCCCGCGTAGCTTTGGACTTACACTGCGTCTTCGTCCATGGTTACCTCATGCTGCGCGGGTTCGAGAGGAGCGGCGGGTTCGGGCTCGGGGGAAGAGCTCGACTGACTTGCCTGTGAGCTGGACCGGAAGACCTGGGAGCCTGCGAACCCGCGCAGAGCCAGAGCCCTCGTTACTGCATTGTCGACCGCCGTGGCGTTCACGGGTGTCCTGGGCGTGCCGGTAGTGATGAGGGAGCGTCTCGCTCGCCTTGGAGTCGTGGGCACTTTCTGCGTCAGCGGCGCTGCGTTAACCTCGACCTCGACGGGAACGTCAGGAGAAGCGGTCGGCTCGGGAGTCGACGCGTCGGCGACCGCTGCATTTGCAGTACGGGATGTTCGAGAGATCTTGGCGGACTTGGGCGAGTCTGCAGCCTCAAGCGTGGTATATGTTGAGGAGCGCTTGCGCTTCTTCTTCGATGTCTTCGTCGGCGTCGCCTCAGCGTTCTGGGACTCGTCGGCCGACGAGGGAGTCTCAAGGCCGGTTTCAACCTCTGAGGTTTCTTCCACCCCAGCGTCGTAGAAGGAGACACGCTTCGCCCTCCGTGTCGCGCGCGTCACAGGAGCGTCGGCAGCGTCCGAGACGGGCGCAGCCCTGGCAGCCCTGGAGCGGAGAATGGGGCGCCTAGGCGGAATGCCGGTCGGCTCGGGGGCCATCCCTGCCACCATCGGCATGGCGGGCTCGGCGGTTTCGGCGGGTTCCTCGGGCTCAGGGAATCGTTCCTTGGTCTGGCGGCGCGTGATCCTACGCGTCGGCTGCACTGCGACCGGGGTGTCGTCCTGAGTCGCAGCGGGAACGTTCCCAGCTGGCCGCTTGGCTCTAGTCTTCTTGGTCTTGGAAGGCATGGGGTTCATACTCGTCGCCGACGCAGAGTTGTCGTTGCTCGCGGCCGAACTGCCGGTGCACCTTTTGCTCCGGCGCCGAGGAGCCACGGGCGAATCCAGGGCGTCTGATGTCGCTTCGATCTCCTCCTCCGGCTCAGACGGGCTGGGAGTGCTGAGAGAGCTGGGGCGCTTCGGAGACTGTCCACTCGGCCTAGGCGGAAGGCGAGGCAAGCGCGGCCTGTCTGGCTCGCGCTCAGCGGAGGAGTAGCCGAGCTGCGCACTCTCCATGTTGCGACGCTCTGGTGAAGTGACAGATGATGATGGACGAGACCTCATTTCGTACGTCGGTCGAGTTATATGACGATAACTTGTTGAAGCGGGGGGCGTCGCGCGGTCGCCGATTGTTTATTGTTCTGTGTCTGCTTGGTACGATGCAGACAGACAGTCGCGCATCAGCCGTAGATGTAGAGCACGGGCTGTCTGGTCATCCCTGCAGTGATCAGTGCGCGGTGTACATTGCGAGGTCAGTGCGGTGTGAGGAAGTGGAAGAAGAGAAGAAGAGACTCGGCCGTGCGGCTCCGCATTACCCCGCGTCAAAACACCGGATGCCAACAGGCATGTTCGGCGTTAGCCGGATCCGCCGGTTGGGAGCGGCGTCAGTACCCGCCATCTGTGTGGCGTTTCCGCTGGTCAGTGCACAACAACACTGGAATACATATCACGCAAGATAGTTGAGGACGTTGCGCTCCTGCTCTGAGCGGGCGAGGAACTCGCGCTCGATCAGGCTCTCGACGCGCTTCTTGATCTCCTTTACGTCCGGCGGGAAGCGCTTGGACACGTCCACTACCACGGCGTCGATGAGCTGCGCCAGCGGGAGCGTCTTCCGCGCCTTCATGATGCGTACGATGGTTGCCTCGAGAACGGAGACGCGGTCCACAAGCACCTGCTCATTCGTCTCCTTGCTCTCCTCCTTGCTGAGGTCCTGCTGGATCTGGTTGATCTTGAACTTGATTCTGTCGCTGTGGAACTTCTTGTTCAGGAAGAACTCGTCCTCGGGGTTCACCTCCTTGCCGGATGGCCGCTTCAGGAGCACACGCGTGCCCTTCCGCCCCATCGCGAGCGACTGTAGCGTGCGCACCAGCTCAGAGGTTTCGATGCCCGTTCTTCGCTGGATCTCCGCACACGTCAGGACATCCTCCTCGTTGTACAGGAGCAGGACGACAGCCTGGAACAACGACAGCGTGATCTCGTACTTGCCGCCGCCGAGGCGTGTAGTCATGACTACGGTTGCCAGCTGGTGGCGCCATGACAACTTGCGGTTCTTGTGCTGCGTTGTGTACCACGTTGTGAAAGAGTCGAGCGCGCTCTGGAGCCCAGGGGTGAGCTTCAGCGCCCACCCGTCCTTCAGCAGCTTGTACGTCGGCCATGCCGATTCCGTGAGCACGTTCGCGGTAAAGTCGCTGTGGTCCTTGAAGTCGTCCGGGTTCTTCGCCCTGGCAGCCTGATAGCCTTTAACCAACCTAAAGTCAGCCTTCATCCAGCCCCTCAACCTCACGTCTCAGACAACTGCAGATCCTTCATCATGACGTCTCCGGACGTAAACTCCTCTCCCATTTCTGCATGTCAGCTTGCACAGGCGCATCTGTCAGCGTTTACCTTTCTGCAGCTTGATGATCATGTTGCGTTCCATGTCGTCACTCGCCGATTTGTTGAGCAGGAGACGCTTGGCGAGTCCGCTTGTGTAGAAAGCGCGGAACACGTCCTTGTCAGGCGTAAACCCGACAAGCGCTACGATCTCGTCGAGCAGCGCGTTGAACTCGTCCTCGCCATCCTTTGGCCCGCGACGCATGACGCTGTCAAGGTGCTTCGCGATCCACTCCGCGGGCGCATTCTGCCGACTGCCAAGACCGGCCTTGAATCCCGCTCGCACCGCATCCTCGAGCTCGAGCTGAGTCTGAGACTTGATCTGCGGTTCTTGTGGCTCGGGCAGAGTTGATGATGTGCCCATTGCTTCTCGTCCGCGAAGTACGACTGCCACTTCCGACTGGGGCAGCCTGCTGGCCAACTCTGCTCGCCGCTTGCGCGGCTGCAGGCCCTCTGATGGCGTTGATGGCCGGCTTTGTCGCGGCGTACTCGGCGCAGCAGCTCGGGTGGGCGATGTGCGCCCCGCCCCGCCAAAGATCTGCCCAACGGCGCCGTCTGCGAACCGCTTGAACTTGAGCGTGCTGTCGATCATCTGCGGGTCGTTCGCGGGATCCGAAATGAGCTGCTTCATGCGCTGCTCAATGTGCGATCGCAGCGCACCAGCAAACACTGGAACGAGTCCGCCTTCCTTGCAGAAGACGTAGAGACGGCTGAGAGCTTCGGTGTCGTCGCGGTACATCGCCTCATCGAGGGCGGGGCGGACGACCTCGCTCGCAGGGTGAGCGACAGCTAGTCGGAGGCTCTTGACTACCTCGCTGGGATCACTGAAGAAGACAGATGATCGCTCGGCCTCCTCGGCCTCCTTAGCCAACGCCCATGAGACGTACTCCGTCCCGGTGCCGCCGGCAACAACAGCATTGAGCCGGTCCTGTGCCTCACGGCTGTAGTGCTCGGCGAGGTCGTCCAGGTATACACTCGAGAGCTTCTTGAACGTCCCAAGGCGATGGGAGAGGGAAACAACTTCCCGGACCGCATTTCGGTCCGTCGCCACCCCCTGTCGCTCAGCGTTGACCCATGCGAGGATTTCGTTCCGAGTCTTCTCCCAAAGAAGGTCGTTCTTCCATACATCGAGAGCAAAGAAGTTTGTCGCAAGTGTGGCGATATTCTCCAGTCCCTCTTCCTTGCACCACACACGATCCAGATACACAAACACGGCGGCGAGGAGGTGCTGATGTCAGCTTTCATGACATACAATTGGGCAGCTCACCACACGATCAGAATACTCCTTCCAAGTCGCAAGAAGCTTTCCAAGCCAGTTCTTCTCGCGTGCCATGAGGAATGCGCGTGAGTCGCGAACAATACGGCTCACGTATGCTTGTAGTTCGACATTGATTTTGGTGTACAGTGTCGTGAGAGTGTCATCGCCGCGGACGACGAGCTGATGCACCTGCTCGCTGATCTTGTGATAGGACGGGGGCGGCTGCTGGCCCTGCAGGATGCTCGAGACGGAGGTTGACAGGTCCTTCACCGATACATTGATGCCGGGAACGTCTGTTGTCAGTTGATTCAGGATCCCGGTAACTCTCACCATTGAGACCGATCTTGACGATACGCCCGCCACTGCGCTTGTTGGTGAGGAGGTCGGTGTGAGCATTACGGCTCGGACGGTAGTCACTGAAGGCATCCGAGCGCGAGGGAAGCGCTACCAAAGGCGGCATGGTCGATGGTGTGCAGTCTCCAAGAAAGCTGGGAGGACTCGACTTGGACGCTGATCGAGCGCAGGCATGCATCTCCCATCGGTCTCCTGCGCGACTGCGCTACGGTGAGGTCATCTGAGTGGAGGTGCTATGGTCACGGAGATCCCCGCTCGTCCGTCGGTAGTAAAGGGGTGGATGGAATAGGTTCCGGGTTGTTCCATGACGCCGCGCGTTGACTTGGTGATGACTTCAGCAGCGGTGAGTGACGCTTCCCTCTGCACAATCGATTCACCATGGCCACCGCAGAGGCATCCTCCTCAACTCCGAAGCCGGCATACGACGATGAGAAGCTCGCCGCGCTCAAGGAGTACCGTAACGTGAGCTTTTATGGCTTGTTTGGGAGCTGACAAGCAGAAAGTCAACGAGCATAGCAAGCTCTCGGAGAACCTCAAGAAGGGTGAGTTTGTTGGGTGTCACGAGTCAACTGACAAACAGTGCGACTGAACATCCGCACGCTTTCTTCCGACTATGACAAGACCGAGGACGACATGAAGGCGCTGCAGAGCGTGGGACAGATCATCGGCGAGGTGTTGAAGCAGCTGGACGACGAGCGGTTCATTGTCAAGGCGTCGAGCGGACCGCGCTACGTCGTCTCGTATCGCCCAACGCTGCCTGTGGAGAAGCTGAAGGCCGGAGTTCGTGTGTCGCTCGATATGACGACGCTCACGATTATGCGCATTCTGCCGCGCGAGGTCGACCCGATGGTGTACAACATGTCGCTCGAGGATCCTGGAGCTGTGTCGTTTGCCGGAATCGGCGGTCTCGGCGAGCAGGTGCGCGAGCTGCGTGAGGTGATCGAGCTCCCGCTCATGAACCCGGAGCTGTTCGAGCGTGTCGGCATCAAGCCGCCGAAGGGAGTGTTGCTCTACGGCCCGCCGGGAACGGGCAAGACTCTCCTCGCGCGTGCCGTCGCCGCGACGCTCAACACCAACTTCCTCAAGGTCGTCTCCTCGGCCATCGTCGACAAGTACATCGGCGAAAGCGCGCGTCTCGTGCGTGAAATGTTCGCGTACGCCCGCGAGCACGAGCCCTGCATCATCTTCATGGACGAGATTGACGCCATTGGCGGCCGCCGCTTCTCAGAGGGAACTAGTGCCGACCGTGAGATCCAGCGCACCCTGATGGAGCTCCTGAACCAGATGGACGGCTTCGACTCGCTCGGCCGCACAAAGCTCATCATGGCCACGAACCGCCCCGACACGCTCGACCCCGCCCTCCTCCGTCCCGGACGTCTTGACAGGAAGATTGAGATTCCCCTCCCGAACGAGCAGGGACGACTCGAGATTCTCAAGATCCACGCCAAGGGTATCAACAAGTCAGGCGACATTGACTACGAGGCCGTCGTCAAGCTCTCGGACGGATTCAACGGAGCAGACCTCCGCAACATCTGTACCGAGGCGGGTATGTTTGCCATTCGTAACGAGCGAGACGCCATCATCCAGGAGGACCTCATGAAGGCCGTCCGCAAGATCAAGGACGTCAAGAAGCACGAGACCGCGATGGACTACGAGGCGGTTTAAGCAGCGCGCGACAGCAGTATAGAGATACATTTATTCCATATATGTACAAATCCGATGTGATGTGTGATTTATGAAGCCTTATAGGGGGGAGGGTGGGAAGTGGGGAGCGTACAATGAACAACGTGAGGGGAGATGGATGGGGAGTGTCTATGTGAGAGCTTGAATCTGGTCGACGGAGAGACTTCTACTATCTGGTCTGGCTCTTTTGAGGTATTGGGTTACTGGCTGAGGAGGTCGTTGATGATGCGCGAGCAAAGCTCAACGCCGTCCTTGACGTTATCGCGCTCCGCCTCCTCGACGCGGGGAAGGACGCGGTGCCAGCGATCGGGATGGAACATGCGGATGGCGTCCCTGAGGACCTTCTTGCGCGCAGCCTCGTACTCCATCTCGGTCTTGTCGCGGGCAAGGTCGAGGAGGAACTCCTTGACGTTCTTGGTGCACAGGTCGTCAAGGGTGACGATGTACTCGACCTCGCCACCCTTGGCAGCGTAGATGGGCCACGGGATGTCCTGGAACGTAAGGCGGACGCTCTGGATCTCGCCCGTCGTGAACAGCGCTGCCGAGCGCTTAACCCATGCCTGCCGCTGCTCGGCACGCTTGGCTGCACGTTCCTTCTCCAGTTTCTTCGCGCGCTCCCTGCGTTCGGCCTCGGCGGCACGCTCCGCCCTGTCGTCATAGTGCCCTGGCGTAGCCGAACCGGGCGCGCTCCTCGCTCTGGGCACGGGCGGCACGAGCGGCTCCACCGTCGCGAGGCGCCCAGAAAGGGTTGGCGAAGCCCTCGCCCAGATGTTCGTAGTAGCGGTGCTCAGAGGTATAGTCGGGGTTCGCCTCGCGGGGATACGGGTGTGCACGGCGGCGACGCTCGAAGTTCTCACGCGCAGCGTCGAACTCGTCCCGCACATGGCGCACGTACTCGTCGTCGGTGCGCCCAGCCATCGGAGGGGCACGAGAGCCTGAGGGCATCCCACCAAAGTCGAATGGGCGGAACGCGAAGCCGGCTCCAATGCCTGAGAAGGGGAAGTCGCGCAGCGTCTCCTCAAACCTCTCGAAGGGGTCTGGCATCCGCATGCGGCCGTAGCGGTCGCCAGACCTGCTCGATGATGACGAGCCCGTCGCATAGCGGTTAGGGATGCGCTGCTCGTATCCGGTGGTTGATGGCATCTCCTCGACGGATCCTGCGCGACGACGTGAGCTGCGCCCTGCGCCTTGAGCACCGAACGGGTCAGGCGGCGCGTACTCCTGGTAGCCGTTGGCGCGAGAAATGCGCTCGTTCAAGCGACGTTGCGCACGCTGTTCCTTCGCGAAGAGTCGCTCCGCTCGCTCACGCTGAGGCTCTTTCCTGTTTGTCAGCTTGAGTACGTACTGCTTCCAGAGCTGTCCCACCTTCCACGCTGCTCGCGCTCACTGCGTCCCCCCAAAGAGATGCGATCGAAGAGCGAGCTCATCTCCGCCATGTCGTTCATGGCCTCCATGATAGACTGGATGTGTGACTCGTCCAAGCTGTCATGCCGAGTGCTGGACTGAACAGCCGAAAGACTCGTGGAAGAGCGTGTGCTGGAGTGTCCGCGCCCGCCAGACACCGACGTGGTAGTTCGAGAGAAAGAGATATGGTCGGGACCAGTATCAAGCTCGGTGATCGTCACGCCGTGCGGCGTGCGCTTGACATGCCGCACCATGGCTCAACCAGGAGTGCTTGAGTAGTCTTGGGCTGGTGGGAACGAGGTCTGGAGAAGAGGAGAAGGAAGAGATGCGAAGTGGAAAGGGGGGAAGCGAGGGTGTTTGTGGGAACCGAGTGGTGGGAAAGAAGCAAAACACTTACAGGCGTATCCGTGACGGGCGCGGTATGTCGTAGTCGCGCGAGGGCGACATGCGTGCGTTTTGTGCGAGAAGCACGAGGTATGAAGCGACTTGACAATGACAATGCAACACGAAGATGTGTGTATTGCGACGGCCACTGCATGTACTCCAGCTCCGTCCCCGCCCTCCATCCTCGGATCTCGCGTCATGCAATGTTCGTTGCCTTTGGGTGGCAAATGTAGGGCTAATCACGTGACGCAATGGCCCACCGAAGAGAATCGAGCGCCGGTGGCCCCAAATCATCAAGAAACGATCTGTTCCTGTTCGTATAACGGCTAGTATGCTCGCTTGTCACGCGGGAGATCGGAGTTCGATTCTCCGACAGGAAGCTCTCCTTTTTCTGCCTCTTCTCGCGTCATGCATGCATGAAGAGAGTGTTTTTGGAAGGAGGAAGGACGTATTGAAGTTGGTGGAGGGGTGACAAACCGGAGGACGACTAGTGTTTCAGAAATCTGCGCTTGCAGCGCTAAATCTGAGTTACCAAGGGCGCTAACGGATTTCGTCTGGTGCGAGGGACCGTGTGGCAGTTCCTGGCATTTTCATGTCCCACATCATCCTTCGACCAACGAGAGCACATACTCGAACGCCGCACAACGCCTTGCGAACACGTAAAAGGTAAAAGTGTTGAACACTCGCGTGTTCCGTGCCCCCACTCAGAATCGAACTGAGATCTAGAGATTATGAGACTCGCGTACTGACCATTATACTATAGGGGCTGTGGGTGAACGCCGAGACGATTCACGGGAGCGCGGCGCCGGCGTCGGTGATGACATGCTTAGGCATTGTGATGTCGACGCAGGGCTCGGGGCTGGGCTTCAGACAGGTAGTGATGGCGTTGAGAGGGATTACTGTTGAGGGCACAGAGCAGATACCGGTGAAGGGGCGATGGGCCGGTGCCGTGTGCTAGGGATGGGGCGTACGTGTGCGTGAGCTAGCACATACTCGCATCCGATGGCATGCTTCGCTGCGCTGTCACAGTCCTGGCTCCTTCTCGCCTCGAGGAGTAGCGCGGTCTTCTACCGTCCTTTCCCGCTTGCAAGGTCGTCCTAAGAGCACGGCCCGCGTCGCGGACGTCGCACCGACTCAAGGTCACATCTTCTGAGCTTCTATACCCATTCCGAACTTTGAATGCTTCCTCACTCGCCACTACCGTCATGTGGTTATCTGGTGATGCATCATCGTTTCCTCCCATCAACAAACTCAACACTATACCGCCTTGCTGTGCCCGGCCTCCCTGCAATATATCGCCCCTTTCCTGCACGGCGCTATCCACCATACCGCACACGTTGCCGGTCCCAGTCATGTCGCAGGACATCAAGGTAACCGTAGCTGTATCGGTCCCGGGTGAAGAGTCTCGCAACGTCCTGGACGCTACGACTGCAGCGTCCCCGATACAAGTTTCGCGCTCAAGAGAAGGCGGCGAAGGCAGCCGTAGGGGCTCATTCCATGTGACCATCACCGTCACTATCCCGCAACCTCTGACCGAACAACCCTCCGCACAGGTCTCGCCCGACGTCCGTGGGACTCGCGACCTCAGTGCCGGGTCAGCTGATCGATCCCCTTGTTGCGACTGTCACGGTCGTGCTGACAGCGGCCAGCGTGACTCTGTATCTGAGTCCTCTCCTGCAAGAGCCAGTACGAGGACCTCTTCGACGCATGTTACTCGTTCCTCCGCTCCTCACAGCCCCATAGTTGGCACCGCTCGGAGAGCCTCAGAAGTCGGCGCCCGCGTACCTCGCTATAGTTGGGGCACGCCGGGTTCTCCCATTGCCCGCGTCCGCACTCACTCTTCCTCTGCTTCGATTTTACCTCCGGTAACGCGCGAGCTGCATAGCCGGCCTTCGGAGGATGACGATGCCAAGGACAGCTCTCCTCATGCTGATCTCAACAATGATGAGAAGGGCCATATTGGAGGACAGGGAGGAGGTAGAAACCCCAATGACGCCGTGCCGGAGAGTACCAAGTCGGTCATTGGCGGTGATGGGAGCGGCGAGAGACAAGAGGCGGAGGGCAACGAGGAAAGCAAGGGTAGCGGTGACAGTGACAGCGACAGCGATACCGGAAGTGAAAGTGATGATGAGGGTAGCAACGGCCAAGGCATTGGGAAAAGCGAGGGCGGGACAAAGAGTAGCAGCGAGAATGGCACCGACAGTGACGACTCCAGTGGTGATGAAGACAGCGATGATGAGGGCGGTGACCAGAAGAGCGGTGGGGAGAGAAACAGTACCGAGGACAATCTTCCCGGAAAATCGGACGATGAGGAGGGCGGCAAGCAAGACAGCAAGGATAGAGCCGACGACACCGTAGACAAGGAGAGCGAAGTCGGCGACCAGAAGATCGCGGAGCGAGACACCGACCCGTTCATCCAGCACCCGCGCGAGGGGAGCTCAGCAGATGCCCATCGACAGCGCTTCCGCGAGCGGCTCCAGCATTGGCCCTCGCCGGCCCTCACACCGCAGCGGCCCAACAGCGCCACTCCCTCCCCTTACATCGTGAACGCGCCTCCCCCCCAGCTTCCGGACACGACACCCAACACGTCCGTGATCAACCGTCGCGCAGCAGTGTTGTGGGACGTTGCGCTTCAGAAAGCGGCAAAGGAAATTGCAAAGGCTGCTAAACGTCACGGAGAGGATAGTGAAGAGTACAGAAAAACCCAGATCAATACGTACTCCGAGCTGAAGGTGTTTCGGGGTCGTTTGCTGGGCATGCTGAAGCGGGGCTGGACGCCAGATGGACCGCAGGGCTGGGATCTGGTTGACTCGACATCACAGGTGGGAAGTGTCGTGAGCGTGCAGAAGCACAACAAATAGTACACCGTAGTGAATAATCATGACGAGGCATGTGAAGGCAGCTCTTACGCAAACGCTCCTCTCCCGTCTGATGGTCGAAGCAGCACCATCGGCGTCGTCCGGAACCGGCTGCTTTTTGTACTGAGCTTTGCAGGCGGCGACAGCCGCTTCGCTGAGCCCAAAGTGTAGTACAAAAGCTTTGTCGCAGTGCTCAGTGCGGTTTGATCATCCGGGATGGCGATGGGCGACAGTGCGTGTGCACGATGCCACACAGGCTCGGGTGCGAGACAAGCACATTTGAGGCGGCGAGCACCGCTGCAGCAGGATACGCGTACGCAGACAGCGCCGCTCTGTGCTGGGCATCTTTGGCATCCGAGGTTGCTCAGCAATGTGCAAGTTGTCAGTCCGCTGCTAAGTGCCACGGAATGAAGTTGATCCACCTTGGTCAGTGGTGGCGCCCCGTTGTTTCTCATCGTCTTCCGCAACGCAGCTCTGCCTGTCCCACACACGACACTCGCAGTCCAGCTCGCATTCCAAGAACGTCAGCCTTTACGTAGTCCTCACTGCATCACCGGCTCCGTGCACTGCACACTCTGCAGCGCTCGCAGCATAGCTCGGCCGGCGGGCAGGGCACGGTGACCACGTGGTCACAGCGCGTCTGCCTGTTTCGCGCAAGTCCGGCCCGCTTAGGCCTCTCGCCTTTTGCCGGTGGTGCATAAAGTCGCTCCCTCCCTCCCTCTTGCCTCGCCTCGCGTCCATCACACCCAACTAATCAACACACTCCTTCACAACAGCCGGCCATGTCGAGCAGGGTCGCCACCTCCGCCGCCGCGAGCGCCGCAGCGGGCATGATCAAGCTCTCGCCGAGCGTGTACTTCCTTCCTCCCCTTCCGCCCGCGCCGGGCCGCAGACCCACCCCTCCCCCCGCCGACTCGGTCTCCTCGCTTGCGGCGTCCACTACGACGCTCGGGTCGTCAATCTCGGACATTGGAAAGGACTCGGTATACTCTGCCCCCTCTGCTGAGTCCACCACCACCTCCAACAGCTCCTCGAGCGCGTCCAGCGACAGCGGCAGCGCGGCCGTGCCCCGCCGCGACCCCGGGCTCATTCTTCTCGGCACCTGGATGGGAGCGGCCCCGAAGCATATCCAGAAATACACGGATGCGTACCGCCATCTCTTTCCCAGCAGCCCGATCCTACTCGTGCGCAGCGAGCCGACAGACTTCATGAAGCCGCGTGCCGCCCGGGAGAACCTGCGTCCTGCCGCGCGCCTCGTCGAGGCGTACGCTTCCAACCCTCTCCTGCCCCTCGCCGTGCCCTCTCCTGTCTCCGCCGACGCCAAGACCGAGGCCGGTGCCAGCGGCGTGTCGAAGGACTTGCTGAAGAAGACGGGCCTCGACAAGCCGGAACGCAGCAACGCCGGCGGCCCCATGCTAGTTCACGTCTGGAGCAACGGCGGCAGCAACTCTCTCTGGGGCATCCGGCGGCAATCGAGCGTCTTCCCACGCTACAAGCTGATCATGGACTCCTGCCCCGGCCAGTTCCACTACAAGGCGACCTTCACTGCCTTCAGCCTCACAATCCCCTATCCCTGGCTGAGGCGGCTGCTCGCGCCGCTGATCCACTTCATGTGCTGCTGGTTCTGGCTGCGGCTGCGTATGCCGGGCTTCTCGAGGCTGATCGGCGGCGAGGGACAGGGCGGCCCGCTCCGCCTCAGCGCTGACTCGCACAATGACCCGAAGCTCCTCGGCGTGGATCGGGGACGGACGTACATCTACTCGGACGAGGATGCGCTCGTGCCCAGCGCCGATGTCGAGGAGCACGCGCACCAGGCCATCGATAGGGGATTCAACGTCAGGCTCGAAAAGTTCAAGGGTAGCCAGCACGTCGCGCACGCCAAGAAGGATCCGGAGAGGTATTGGCGCCTTGTGCGGCAGACTTGGAACGGGGGGCTGGATGGGGAGGGCCTGACGCCGCAGCAGGAGCAGAAGGAGAAGCAGCGACTGGACAATCATTACAGAGACCAAGCTCAGGCTTAACACGTAGATAAGGCATAGATGTTAATACTTCTTGAGCTACTGAGCTATAGCCCGTTGAGAGAGCGTGGAGCGCCCAAGGAGGAGCGCGGGAGGAGATAGACTATATAGGGTTCTATATACAACAGACCAGCGGAGACGAAAGGGAACCGGAAACGACGAACACGCAAACACGCTTGGGAGACACGGGGGAACGAAACAGCACATAATATAGGAGATCGGGAACGATTGTGGTGGTTGTTTGAACAAATGATTGTGCGTGTGTGTGTGTGTGTGGTTTTAGAGATTGACAGTGCTGTCGGTGTACCCGAGCTGGCGGAAGCGGGAGAAGAAGATCTTGTCCGCAAGGAAGTCGCGGGATTTCCGGTCGACGACAAAGTCGGGCGCGCGAATGTTGCCAATGATGGGCAGGTTGATGATGGCCGCTCCGCCGCGCGAGCCGAGGAGCACCGTGCTCTCCTTGAGCTTGCTCGAGGGCGAGTAGGGCTTGGCGGGCCATCCCTTGATCTCGGCCGTCATGATCTTGGCGAGCGCCTCGCCCTCGCTCATCGCCGCCACGCCCGTCTTCCAGCTCGGGGCGTTGGCGACGTCGCCGAGCGCATAGTACTGTCCCTTGAAGATGGACTGAGGGTGCGAGCCGCGGATGCGGAACATGGAGTCGATCGAGACGTAGCCGTTCGTGGTCACCGCTCCGGGGTCGACGGAGGAGACCAGCTGCGAGTTGGGCTTGTTGCCCGTTGAGTCGAAGACGTAGTCGGCCATAATGTACCGTCCCGAGACGAGGGGGACACGCTTCATCTCGCCGAGGGCGCCAGACTTGCCGCCCCACTCTTCGGCCTCGGCGGCAGAGAAGTCGACACGGTCGCAGAGCACAAACTCGACGCCGCGCGCAGTCAGCTGGCGCTGCAGCGCCGACACGAGCTTCATGCTCGTGCGCGGGGGCACGTAGGTGTGCTTCGTGTTCGCGCCCGAGTCAGAGGGGTGCAGCAGTCCAACGTCCCAGTGCACGATCGTGATCTTCTTCGTGCGCCCGTACAGGTCGTAGATCTCGCCCGCGACTTCGATTCCGACACTGCCTCCGCCAACGATGAGGATCGACTTGGCGTCCTTCATCTCGGCCTGCTTCGCGCGCAACTCGTCCTTCCACTGCTCCAGCGTCGAGCCGGGCGCAGGTCGGATGGGCACCGGCGACTGAGCTCCCGTAGCAATCACGCATTTCTATTGTACGTCAGCGTCTTGTCTCGTGCATTGGGCGGCAAGCAAGCAAGCAGAAAAGGCGCGAAAATGTGGGTGGAACGCCAAGTTACGCGGTGGCGTTTTCCGCCGCAGACCGGAGGGTCGCCGTATGGGTTCACCGGCCACAGACCGGAGCTCGCCGCGGGCGAGGCGGGCTCTCCGGCGGAATGATAAGGACGGCAGAACTGCTGTAAACTCACCTCGAATTCGATTTCGTCCGAGCCCTCAAAGTCGTGCTCAAGCCAGACCGTGTTGCGTCGCAGCTTGACGACGCGGTTCGGGCACACAACGCGATGCCTGCTGTTGATGGGGAACACGGTGTGCTGGTTCATCGGGGCGGTGAAGTCGCCATTCTCCCAGCCTGCAGAGGGTGGTCAGTGGCCGCACATTACGTGAAAGGGGCTGGGGAGTGGCGGAGGGTTAGAGTGCAGGAGGCCCGTGAGCAGGGCGACGACCAGCCAGCCCAGTCCGGCCTCCGGCCGAAATGGCACACTCAAGGCACAGCCGAGCAAAGTTGGTAGACACGTACCAGGTGCGACCAGCGCACGCACGACGAACGAGCTGTGCTGCACAAACTCGTTGCGCTCAATGATGATCAGGCGGTAGTTGGGGGGAAGGTTCGGGGCGATCGCGTTCACGAACGAGTGGCCAGCGACGGAGCCTGCGCTTGGTCAGTCATACATTGCACTTCCAGACAGGGACAGCAGCGGCGAAGCGATACGAGGTGTGCAAGGTTCATCCTTGCTTGCTCTTTGACGTCGCTGTCCTTAAAAATTTGAGGATGTGGGACAGCAAGATACTCACCACCGACAACAAGGATGTTCTTCCACTGCGCCTTGTTGACGACCGTGGACGAGGTGGCCGACATGAGCGAGGACATGGTGAGCGAGGGGTGAGGGTGGGAGAGAGGATGGAAGGATGAGAAAGAGCAACCTCGGTGCGTTGACCAACTGGCGTTCGCCTAGGTCCCGGAGTCATGTTGGACAGAGTTGCGCGTGTCCGGGGACTGTCAGCAAGCCATGCGCCGTCAGTGCGAGGAACAGGAGACGAGGATACCACGAGAAGGGGGGTTGCAGCGGGGGCACGCATGCGAATGGAGGTGCTGGTTGCAGGACGCAGGACCGCTGTCGCCCCTGCGCATCCCCCCCTGGCCCTTTGTTGCCCTATGCCAGCCCTAGCACGGCCCTTTCGGCTTGGCCCTTTGTCTGCACGGTGCAACCCTGGGATCTGGGGAAGCACGCACATCCCAAAGCACGCATCTTCTTTCGGCAGCGGCTGGGAGGCGTAGGAGGCGCCGAACGAGGCGTGTGCAGCAGGCGTCAAGCGGGGGTTGTAGGATGGCGACGGGACTTGTAAAGTTGGGCGCGCCCTGAAAGGTGACAGTGCCTGGCAAAGGTTTCCTCGCCAGGTACGACTAGGTTTGGCACTCGTCTGTGAGTTTTACAGTTTTTTTGGACCCCGACAGCTTGATGCCCCTCGAAAAAGACAGTCACCAAGCTTGTCGTGCGTTTGTCGTAAACCCCCCTGCTTTGCCCCTGCAGTCTCCGCTCTATCAGCCAGTTGCAAGACTTGCGCACACACATGGGAGTGTACTCCAGCAATGGGGCCATGCGGCACGCCGGCTTCGGACATGACTGCCGCCCTCGATGAATGTGCTGCCGACTGCAACTTGCGCAAGCGTAAAAAGTTACGGTACGCACTCCGACGCCTCAGTCTCGGCTCTCGCAATTGTCCCTGGTGCATGGCGGACCTGGCGGGCCGGGCCTGAGTGACCTATTCTCCATTCATCCAGTACCGAGGCCGTCCAGTGGTCCCCACAATCCTGGTCATGTCCTGGCTCATGTCCTAGTCACCGTCCCAACAGCAGCACCCACCCCCTCGTAACTTGCCGAGAAACCGAACCGGTATGTCCACCTCTTCCTTCGTCCTGGGGGGACGAGGCACAGGATATTCGGAGGTACTACCAAGGGCATGGTGAGACTACGACGCACCAGAAATCCTTCTTGATCAGAATTGATGCGGCCGGTCCGCCGGCGTCGCACGTTATGGCTCAAGGCACAATGAACAAACTTACGACGCCCGACGGTTCGACCGATGGAAGAACCATGCCACCGGGCCACCGGGACACCGTCTTCACGGTGGACACCGTGACAGGCGACGATCGGTGGCCCGCACATTTGCATTGAGATGCGGGGCTGTGTCGAGTGGGTCGTTCTGCGCGGGGGGCGCCGCGGGTCTCGTCAAAGATGCCGACGTCGGGGCACGCAAGGGACGTCGCACGACGCTGGGTTAGTGCTGGCCGGACAGTACGGCCCATGAATGGTCCGGGTGGTTTGACAATCCGGGATCTGGTCGACGCGGATCACGAGATGCTGGCATGCAAGACGTTCCCGCACATCGGTACATCGATCCAACGTCAAAGCGGGTCACCGTCGACGCCTGGAGGCTCAGAAGCGTCCCAACGCGCGGCTGGGGAGCTTGCAAACGCCAGACACCTCCCGCCCACGACGAGAGGAGCATGCATATCTCGGCCAGGCTCATACGGCTGATATGGTGACTTGAACGACTGACAGAACCCACTGAGCCCGGTAGAACGCCCGACCAAACGCCCGCAGCGCCAGCCGCCCAGCCCACTGGGTCCGAGACCGCGCCGCGCCGTCAGCCGCCAGCCGCGGCGCCTTCCACACATGCCATACAGAGGACAATAGTCGTGGCGTCAGATTTGAGCAGGTAAGAGAAGCTTTTCTCTTCCCCAGCTGCTGGAGTTTCTGCCGGCCAAGGGCCAGGAGTGGGAATGCGCGATCCAGATTCCAGAAATGCCGCAGAGATCCAAGCTCCGCGCTAAGCTGAGACAGCCGCAGAGTGAGACTGATTGATGCACTGACGCTGACGCTGATGGTTCGGTGCCGGTTGAGCAAGGAAGGAGGGTCCAGAGCGTGTACCCTTCATCGACTCCGCTTCGCATTTGCAGGACCAGCTGGTCTCGGTGATGTCGGGCGTCTCCAGCTGCACAAAAGACAGTGATGGCGCCCAAGCGTCATGTGATGAAACGCGTCTGAGCCGTGGTGCTCGGGCTCCCTACACTCTCCTTAATGCCTCATCGCGTCTGCGGACGCGTCCTCGCGTCCGTGTGTGCCCGGGGTGACTGCCATTGTTGCCTTTTTCCATGTCTAAATCTCTACAACTGCGCCGAGCGCTCTTTAGAGCCTCGCCTTGTCCGCGTCCTGCACGTTGACGCCCCACTTGTAGAACCACTCGGCCGCATGCCCCACCATCTCCGGCGTACAGATATGACCCGCGTTGTCCTGCACGACCATCTGCGCATTCTCCTTGCCGAGGAGGTTCACGACGTCGTTCCACTCGTCCATGCCCAGTCGTGGGGGAATCACCTCGTCGACGCCTCCGCACAGTGCCAGGATCTTCTTCCCCCTGTACGGCTGGGGACCCTTGTGGTCCTCGTAGAAGGCCCGCGTGCGCGCGGGGTAGAACATCTTGTCAGTGCCTAGGACACCTTCGGCTCTGAAACGAGCGGTGTGCACGCGTCCCAGAGCGTCGGCCGGGACCGCGATGATGGGCACTGCGACGCGGACGCGCGGGTCGCCTGGGAGTCAGCTTCTTGTTTCGGGGGCAGAGAGCAAGAGTGAGATCTAATAGGAGGCAGACATCGCTTGGCGACCAGGCGGGGATCGATCCAGGAAGCTGACCATGAGCCCATCCATCTGAGCATCGCCGCATCATTCAGAGACGGGTGGAGCCCTCCGTGCATAGAGTGCAGTCACAGCCCCGCCGACCCGAGTGCGGCCCATGATCGAGCGACAGTAGCGATTCAGGTGTGGTGGGATTGAGGATCACACATATTAAACCCGCGTGAGGCTAAGAGGATCGCCCAACGTAAGCGGCGTATTCAGCGGGCCGCAGTGCAGACAAATGCACTAGCGCGTGCCCAGCATTCGCACTCGGTGTCCTTGGGCAGTGCTTGGCTCGAGGGTAGGGAAAGAGTGCGGGGAGGATAGGGGATGAGGGGACGAAAATGGGAAAGAGGGGGCAAGACGAGGGCAGGGATGGGTGAATTGTCGGGGCAGGTCAGGTTGTCAGGTAACGAGATGGTTGGACCGACAGGCGCCACGGAATGGGATCCTGGGTGCTGTCCTGCATGTCCTGGATGGCAGGCTGTAGGCTGCAGGCTGCGTTTCCGGCGTAACGGTGCGTCGCTGGAGCCCACATGGTCGCCGTCTCCGCCCTCTGCCCTCTCCATCTCCATACCCCTCTATAAGGCTTAAAGCTCGCCGCAGCGGCAGATTGCGGTACTCACTCTGCATCAACCTCCACACCACGTGCCCACCAAGCGACACACCAGTGACCATGAACTCGACAATCTTCCGTCCCCCCATTGGGAAAGCGTAGTCTTCGAGGTAGTCCATGATGAGCTGCTGGTCCTGCATGCCGCCCGTCAGCGTCGCCGTCATCGCGACGAGACGCCAGGGGTTCTTGTTGTACGACAGCGTGTCCTTCTTCGTCTTGCGCGGGCCGTGGTTCCGCTGATCGACCGTGACTACGATCACGTCTCGGGGAGCAGGGCCGCGAGAACGGATCGAACCGATCAAGCCGTGCGACATGTTGGCCATCTGGGCCGCGTTGTTCGCCCAGCCGTGCGCGATGAGCTGAGGTCAGCGAGATTCACAACTCATCGCGTCCGGTGCCTCGCTCCATCGGTCTCGCTTCGGGCTCCACTCGTCATCACTTTCCACCAAGAACAACGCTCTCAACAGAAAGGACGCTCTGATGCATACTCGGACGCGTCAGGCCGTCTCCCTGACAGCGAGGGAGCAGCTCGGCCAGGCGTCTCGGAGATGGATTCTTGACTGCACCTGAGGAGCGGACTCACAATAGCGACGACGGGCTTCGTGCTGCCCTGGATCTCGTCCAGCCCATAGACCTGGATATCGAGATCGACGATCGTAATATCCTTCTTCGAGCACGGCTCATACCCCATGTTGAGGGAGAGGTTCATGACGTGCGCCGGGTCCTGGTTCCGGCGCGAGGGGATCTTGGGGATACCGTCGGACATGGTTGCTGCTTGTTCTTCTCACAGCACGTTCAGTCGTTTCTCGCTGCGATGAGTGATGCTGTAACCGCCGTCTGGGTAGGCGCTGTGTTTGATGTGGTGCGGTCGGAGAATGCGATGTAGTGGGCACGAAGCACGATGCACGGAGGCTAGAGATATAGTGGAGAGGCTCGGCGCCGCGCAATTACCGATTACCGAGTGTAGCCGGAGTACTGGAGGTGTCGCGGCGATCTCCGCCGGATGCGGCCGTGATTCCTCGGCCGTTGGCATGAGGCACAGACATGACCTCGACACGGACGCGATAAGGTTACATGACATTCTCAGTGAAGTTGATGCGCTCGGATCTGATTGCACGGAGAAGAGGAGGTAGTCACTTGCATACCACGGACAAGGAAGAGAAGGGAGGAGCGCGTACCTGTGCGCAGCAGGGGCCGACAGCGAGGCGAGGGGAGAGTTCTGTCTTTTAACATTCAGGAATCAGGAAAACGAAGTGACTACGGCCTGCTTCAACCTCGACGAACGGACTTTGAATCTCGGAGAGCTACGTTGATGCATGTCGTGGCGATTGCGGCTTGTTGGCCTGCTCGACGCTGCCGCTTGTTTTCTCAGCTTCTCAGCAGTGACCGGGACGCGATAACGGTCGTTATAGCGTCCCTCTGCGCAAACACTACCCGTTCATGGTCCCCGGCTTGGTCAGGATCCCAATCGTGTGGGGGATACCGGCGTACCACCCCTCATCAACGGGCATGGCGAGATCGACATGTGCCCAGTCGCCAGCCTGCTCAATCGTGCGGCCAGTGTCACGACACAGACTGCAGCCATTGAAGAACTGCGGCCAGATTGTATTAATCATCTCTTGCGGTCGTCAGCCGCATTCCACCCACAGCACTACAGTAGCAACTCACTTTGGTAGGAACGCATGAAATCCCCTTGCTTCGGGTGCGCCGCGACGTGCTCGTACACATACCACCGCCCGCCGGGTTTGAGAAACTTGTACACCGCCTTGGCGTTCTCAGCCGGGTCGGGGATGGAGCAGAAACAGAAGATGGTCACGATATTGTCGACCTGCGGCTGCTCGCCCTCTTTCAGATCCTGCACTCCTTTGCCGACGACGTGATACTTGTCCCTGATACCCAGTTCCTCGGCCCTCTTCAGCAGTGCAGGATGCTGCTGCATGTTGGGTTCGATGGCGTAGACTGCGTCGACAGTCTTGGAGGTGAAGAGGTGGGCCCACATTCCGCTCCCTGCGCCTATTTCCATGACGCTGCCCTTCAGTGGGGTAGAGGCGGCCGACTTTGTAATGCAGCCGCGCAAGAGGCGGCCTTCTAGGAGGGGCTTGACGCGGGGTTCGGACTCGGCGCGCACCAAGGGTCCGGCCGTAAGCCACAGGACGGCGAACCACTTCTCCTTGAAGCGGGAGGGGGAGAGGAGGGCGCCATAGTCGCCTGAGCGGATGATGGCCAGCCAGGTGAGGGGCAGATGCAATGTTGCGAGACAGAGGAAGATCCAGGGTTGCAGGAAGAAGTAGAGGAAGCTGCGGAGGCCCATGGCGCTGGTTGTGGAGTTTTGACTGCGAAGCGAGGAGCGCGACTGTGAAGGGTGAGTGAGTGTGAGGGGGTGCAACGAGCGTGCGTAAGCAGTGTGAGTGGGAAAGGTGAAGTCTATTATATGCATGACACTACACGTACAAGGGGACAGAGGGCAGTGGGTTCGGAGCCTTGTTCGTTATCTGCCACCCGACGTTCCGTGCAGATCTCAGATCTCTATCGCCCAGTCTGTCGAGTGGGACAGGTGACCACGTCCCGATCCATTCCTTCCAGTCCCTGCTGAATCTATACTCCCAGACCGGCCCCGGCCATTCGATGGGCTTACACTTCTACTCCGTCATCGTCAGTCGCTGCGCGACGCACGTCCCGGCCACCCCTCTTGGCTCTGCTCCGCTCGCTGACGCTCACTCGCCTCGCTGCGCCTACTTGGAAAAGTCGATGATGACCTTGCCCTTGGCCCGTCCGCTCTCGAGCGTCTTGTACGCCTCGCGGAAGTCGTCAAACTTGTGAATCGCCTCGACGTTGATCATGAGCTTCGAGTCGTCAACAAGGTTGGCGAGGTACGTGAGCTGCTCTCCAGAGGGCACCATGAAGAAGTACTCGTACTTGACGCCGGCCTTGGAGGCGGCGCACGACGCGCTCCACGACGCAGCGTACAGGGCCGCGTTGACGAGGGGGCGCTTCCACCAGGGCAGGAGGAAGTCGAGGCATCCCGGCGTCGGAGGGCCGCTGACCGAGATCACGATGCCGCCCTTGTGGATGCTGGGAATAACTTGCGTGTGCAGCGCGTCTCCGCCGACAGTGTCGAAGCACTTGTCGAAGCTGTCCGCCGGTATCGTCTCGGTGCGGTAGTTGATAACGTGGTCTGCGCCCGCGGCCTTGACGTACTTCTCACCAGCGGGGGAGGCGGTGGTAGTAACGGTCGCGCCCTTGACCTTGGCGAGCTGGATGGCGAACTGGCCCACACCGCCAGATCCACCGGTGATGAGGACGTGCTCGCCCGCCTGGAGGTTCATGTGCTCAAAGGCCTGGAGAGCCGTGAGGCCGGCGAGGGGCAGACCAGCAGCCTCGACGAGCGTGACAGCCGTCGGGGCCTTGGCGCAGATGTCGGCCGGGACGACGACGTACTCGCCGAACGAGTCCATGCGGTCCTTCTGGATACGGCAGATGATGGCGTCGCCGACGGAGAACTGGGTCACGTTCGCGCCTGCAGCAGTGATCACGCCGCTGAACTCGTTTCCGGCAATGGCGGGGAAAGGGAAGGAAAGCGCGAGCTTCAGCGCGCCGTCGCGCTCCTTGTAGTCGAGGGGGTTGAGGCCGCCCGCAGTGACGCGGACTTGAACCTCGGAGGGGCCGGGCTGGGGGACAGGGAAGTCGAGGATGTCCATGACCTCGGGGCCGCCGTAGGACTTGTACGCGATCGCCTTCATCGTCTTCTCGGTCGCCATGGTGATATTTGGGTGGTGGGGTGGTGGTGTGGGTGATGAGGATGAAGGATCGGCTGGAGTTGTGAGTTTGTCGCTTGTTCTTAACAATGCCCTTAACGGTGAGAGTCGCTCGACTGTCTTTGCTGTGTGAGTCTGCGAATGCGTGAGAAGGGATTGTGCGGTCTTTGACTGATTATATATTCTGTAGTCAAGGTCTCAGCCTCACATCCGGAAAGAGTATGTTTTTGCATTGCGATCGAGCTGCAATCTTCTTTCTGCGCTCTTGGGCCGCTGCCGTTGTGCAGTGGTCGGGTGGTTATGTCATGATGTGAATTGGGACAGGACGCGGCGCAATGTTGCACCCAGGTTCTCGCGCGCTGATAGGGCCTGGGTCTCGGTGCCCGTCGGCCTGCTCATTCGCCTGTCCGAGGGCCAGACTGCACCCACACCGCCGGGCGCGCTGTGTTCAAGGCGCGTTCTTGGTCAGCGGAAGCCTTACCGAGATCATTCTATGCAAGCTCGCCGGATAATGCTGCGCCGTCACCCTCCGAGATCGTCATCGAACATGGGCGAAGGGATCGTCGTCTGTGCGCCACCCTCCGCTGCATTCCGCGAGGCTGGGAGGTGTGTAACAACCGTGGGATAACTTGAATCTGCAAGAGGCCTCCCCCATCAAGCAGGGGTCCTGTCGGCAAAGGACACTTTTTAGCAAGGGTCCGGTCCACCGTGGGAAGGGTTTCCGGGACCTGACCTTCGCCAGGACTCCCACGGTCGCTTTCGGGTTCAGGCGATAGCCCTGACGGGATGGCGGCAGCGTGACTGATATTGGTGGTGCATGACGTCACGTGCATGCACTCCAAACGCACACGCAACGTGTTTGCCACCGGTCCGCAATGCCCCCCCCCTTCGTGCGCTCGATGGGCCGCTGGGCGCGCTGGGTTGGGCGTGGCCTTGGGGCACATCTTGCACTTGCTCTTCCCTCCATGGATGCTGTCTAGACTCCCTCGACGCCTCCTCTCCACCTCTACCTCTTCTACTCTCAGACTCTACTCTACATCCAAGATGGGCGACAACCAGTGTGAGTTTCTCTCACCTTCCACTCTTACTCGGCGGTGTGGGCGGAGGAAGGTCGCCATCCCAAGGTGACACCCCGTTACGCTTGTCACCTTCCTCCTCTTAAAGTTGGAGTGTCGATGGCTGAGAGTATGGGATGCAGCTGCCGCAGGTGTGAATGCAGCTGATATCACAGGCGTTATCAAGTTCAAGAAGGACGCTTCGCCCGAGTCGAAGCAGAAGACGCTTGACCAGATCAAGAAGGACGGTGGCAAGATCCTCAAGGACGACAACGTCAACAACCCCAGTGAGTACAAGAGTCTTCTCCCTCTCCCACCTTCCCTTATCCTTTCGGCATTGCGCTTTTCGACGATTTAAGCTCGTTCACGGCCTGTAGCTAACTCCAGTCTTCTCTTACGCCGTTGCCGAGATCTCGCCCGACCAATTCAAGAACCTGTCCCAGTCGTGCGCCGACGGCCACGACTGCCTCGACCGCGTCGAGGAGGACAAGACCATGTCCATCTAAGTTTGTAGCACCATAGAAGTATGGAAGCCAATCTGAAGTTTACATCACGAGACATACGCCCGATCTTGACATTGCTACTGACTATACTATGGAACACTACATTGCCTGGAGGCTTACATCCATGTCTTGCGCAAACCCGCGCAGTGACGTCGCAATAGTCGACTCCTTGCCGAACGCGAGATCGCAGTGGTCGGCGGCGGTGCGCAGGTCGGCGATGCATCTCTTGATCTCGTCCTCGCTGATGCCCGGTCCGTTCTCAGCGATGTGAACAGCAATCTGGGCCGCGAGATTTGCGCTCTCAGCGCGGAGGAGGGCGACACTGGGGTGGTTCCTGGGGTACACCTTGTAGGCTCCTGCGAGCGCCTTGTGCGCGTAGGCGAGAGCCTCGGGCTGCGCGGCGGGGACGTGGAGGTTCTTCGCAATCGTGTGCAGGCGGAGGAGCGGACGCGAGCTCGGCGGCATGATCTCCTCCAGGCGCGCGATGACCTCAGCCACGCGGGGAAGGTCGTCGGGGTCGAGCTGGTCCTGGTCGTCTGCCTCGACGAGAGACAGGCCCCCGTTCACCAGGTCCCGGAGCGCGTTTGGGCTTACTGTCCAGCTGGCGCCGCAGGTGTCGCACTTCACCGTCTCCGAGTCGGACATCTGGCGCAGGTCTGCTGTTAGCTTTCACCAGTCTCCGTAGCTGTAACTTACCAGGCATCCGGGCCAGACCTCCGCACTCGTGCAGAAGGCAGTTGCGGGGGTCGACCGCGTCAAGCGTGCACGCGGGACACTCGCACTCGAATCCGTACCGCGACTGCAGGTCGCCTTGCCGCGTCTCCTTGTCGTCAGAGATATCGACGTACGTCGTGAGCACCTCCTCGCCGGCAGCGATGTCTGCGTTCGCAACGGCGACCATCTCCTTCCCACCGCGGGGGAAGACGATCGCAGCATTCGGCGCGCAGCTGTGGTTGAACAGCGCCAGCAAAGGGGACATGGCGACGCCGATTGGCTTCAGGTCGAAGGAGCTCAGCGTGAAGGCGTTCAGGACGAACTGTCGTTAGCTTCGGCCAACCTCTAACAGCTTTAGTCACTAGAAAGGAAACATAACTCACAGAGCGCACAAACGACATCAGTTGCTCGTCCTGGAATCCATAAGGCTCCATGTCGATGAGCTCGAGGTTGTTCGGGTCCTTTGGCGGCTCAGCGGCACCTACATAGTAGCTGAGGTGGATGGCCATCTGGTCCGCGGCGGGAATGCCGTGCACGCCGGTGCCCATGTCCGGTCCCTCGGCGTACATCTTCTCGACCTTGGGCCAGTAGTCGGGGTCGCGGCCGTGCTGGTCGCGATACGCCTTGCGCGCCCAAGTCAGGAGACCGAGAGCTCGTGCACCTTCAGCCTGGATCCAGGAGTTGTTGAGACCGTCCTTGGCCTTCTCGGGGTAGCTTTGCACCCAGAGTTGGCGGACACGCGTGAGCGCTTTGCACTCTGTCTTGTGTGACGGCCAGTCGGCCTGCTGGCACGCCGCGCCGCAGTAGTATACGCCCTTGCAGCCTGAGCAACGCTGCGCCGGCTTCAAGAGGTAACAGTGGTTGCAGTGCAGCTCCATCTTCTGTCCCGCCGCGGGCTCGTACAGGTTCGGCTTGGAGAGCACGCTCACCAGCGGCTTCGTCTTCAATAGTGTCTCACCTGCAGTCAGCTTTGGTGCGCGCCACACTAGCTCACCAGCCTTGATATCCCGCGCCGCGTACAACCCGCGTCCCCGCTGCGGAGAAGTCTTGACCTCGAGAGGCGAGCCGGCGAGCTCGTCGCGGAAAAGAGCATCGTCAGGGGACGTCTCGGCGTTCATCTCAGACAAGAGATCTCCCATCTTGGACTTGAAGAACGCCTCGAATTGCACGCGCATCTCCTCCGGCACGTCGGAGCGCGACGGCAGCTTGAACTGGGACAAATCGGTCGGCATGGTGAGAGCGTTGGCACGTCGCGTTCCGACACGCGCGGAGAGGGTGAGGCAGCGAAAGACTGAGAAGGGAAAGAAGATACGCCCCGTTCCCAAGAACTGAATGGGAGAGTGGTAGGGAAGGGGAGCGAACAAGGAAGGCGAAAGTCAAGATCAACGGACGCGACGCGCAGATGACTGGACCCGTTCCTGGGAACATCTCGCAGCGAACCTCCACTTTCGAAAAATGTGGGTGGACTGGGTCAAGCCATTTTGGTGGCAAAAACAGATGGGTACAACAAGGATTAGCATGCATCTACGACGTACGTCTACACCTTGGCCTTCGGGTCGGGCTTCTCAGTCTTGTTAATCTTGACCTGGTCGATGAGCTCCGACAGCTTCTGAACATCCTCGTCCTCCTCGGTGGCTTTCGCTTCAGATGTCGCTTCCTCCTCCTCTGTTGGCACCGCGGCGTCGATCTTTTCCTCCTCCTTCTTCTCCTCAGCCTCAACCTTCTCTGCAAGTGCCGCCTCCCGCCCTCCCCACTCCTTGTCTAGCCGCTTCCGCTCTTCCCTGCAGAGCTCCTCAAACTCTTCCGTCCATCCTAGCTCGTCGACCAGCGCCTTGACACCGTCGTCCGCGTCTCCGAGCCAGAGCGAATCGTTCCCTCGCGTCTGGTTGCTGCGAAGATACTCGAACGGCCCGACCGCCTCGCGGTTGATCAGTAACCGCGGTGTCTTGCGGTGCGCAAGGTCCACGAGCCCTGCAAAAGGCATGACCTGCAGTGACGTGCCGATCACAATCATCAAGTCGGCTTTGCGCAGCTCCTGGATGTCAGCTAAAAGACCACCTGTTCAGCAGCTTACCGGCTGGAGAATGAAGAAGTTGTCTGGCAGACCCTCGCCGAAGAAGACGATGTCGGGCTTGACGAGCCCATCGCAGTCGTCGTGTGCGCAGCGCACGACCTTGCCCTGTCGCACACCGCTGGCTACGACATGCTCGACCGGAGCGTGTCGCTCGCAATCCAGGCAGTGTGCTTCGCGGAACGATCCGTGCGCCTCCACGACCAAGTCATCCGGCACGCCCGCTGCCGTCTCGAGCGTGTCGATGTTCTGCGTCCAGACACGCTGCAACAGACCCTTTCGGTGGAGTAGTGTCAGGAAGTAATGCGTCGGTGTCGGCTGGACGTCAGCTAAGATCCGGACCACGTAGCTCACGAAGTACTTGCCCGGATAGAGATCGCGGGCTAATGTCCAGAACGGCTCGGGGCGCGCCTCAAAGTAGTCTAAGCTGAATACCGCCTCGGGGAACGGCAGGTTCAGAGCCTGCAGGTTGTCGTATAGACCGGTACCGGGCGAGCGAAAGTCCGGGATGCCTGCTGACGTCGAGATGCCGGCGCCAGTCAAGACAGCGATGCGCTTTGCTGCCTGTCAGCTGAAGGTCGCGGACGCTATCTAGCTCACCCTTGCCATCGCGAATGAGGCTGGCGATTTGAGATAGAGCGGGCTGCTTCGTTGCTGAAGACTTGGAGCCCATGTTGGAACTGAATGCAAAGGAAGGTGCGAAATGACAAGATGGACCAAGATTCATGACACAGGACATGGCATCTTATGTGGAGGCTCCAAGTGGCGAATCGGTGTCTGATCGTGACGCCCTGGTGACAGCTCGGCGACCACCGTCACGGGCCCACTGCTGCGCCGTCACAGACGCGACGCCGCTCCGGAAAGCCTCCACAGTCAGCATTGCATCCGATACGCTGAAGCTCATGCAGCCGCAGCACGCAGTCAAAATTCATGTCGAGACTGATTTTCGGGGCACGGGGGGATAGTCACGCGGGGGGCGCAGCCGCACGTGATCAGTCCACTACCTCTGGCAAGGGGAAATCGTCTAGTGGTAAGACACAGACTTTGCATCTGCCGGTCTCCGGATACCTAGAAGCGATTGTCTGCAACCGGTGTTCGATTCACCGTCTCTCCAACCTTTTTGAGAGCTTCCGGCATCTCTCCAGCCCGATGGGTGCTCGGGGAAGCGTTCTCATTAGCTCGGACGTATGGACGCTAGTGAGCATGGATGAGGATGCAGTGGTACCAACTCGGCGATGCATGTTTGGGCTAGGGACCGGGTGCGCAGTACGTCATTCTCCTAAGGGCGCGCGCGGGACTGATGCGGGCCTAACAACTCGGCGGGGACAATTAGGCATGCAGGATCTACCTCCGTTCCGTCTCTTCCCTTTAGTGCAACCCAATTCACACACCACACCTCGGCGGCGCTGTCAGCTCTGCATCTAACACCCACCACCCCCGACATGGACTGAGCAACCAGCCATGATCATCCCTCCCGACCCAGAAAAGGACCCCCGTCTCTTCGACGCACGCTCTTTAGCGTCCGACGGAGACCTCATCACCCTCGACGAACCATCGACGCCCGGCCTCGCCTATCACCCCGCGAACGCGCCAAGCGTCCTCCTCTACGACGGCCCCTTCTCCGACGAGTATGGTATCAACAACCAGTGGGACCCCTTACCGCCATATGAGGGACGACGGTCAGCGACCCCGCGAGGGTCACGGCTCGTGGCCACGACGTCCCGTGCGTCCGGCTCGTCGTCTCAGGGAACACTGCGACGAATCGCCCGATCATCACCAACAGTAGTTGCGACACCGCCGGTCAAGGAAGAAACAGAAGGAAACGAGAAACCCAAGAAGCCGTGGTACGCGTACTCTGCAAAGGAGATGTGGTACAAGCATCGCAAGTGGCACATCGGCCTCGGAATACTGGCAGCCTTCATCATCGCGCTCACGATCGGACTAGTCGTTGGATTCACGCAAGGGATGCACCGGCAAAGCGTCGAGCAGAAAAAGGAGCAGCGAAAGAAGAGCCACCAGAACCCCGTTCCCAACAATTCATGGTGGGGCGGACTACCCAACCTCAACATCACGTACGACTCGGACCGCGATGGACCGATGCCCGAGGACGGCAACATGGCGTACTGCAACCAGTTCAGCCCGTTGAACAACAGTAACAGCCTCCGACAACTGTCGCTGTCCTCGGACTTTTTCAACCACTTTGTCACGACGTACAACTTTTCTCTCACGCCCCAGAACGTCACCTCGAACACGACGTGGGTGAATGCGACCGAATGCAACTCGACCCTCACGCTGCCGCACCCGCTATACTTTTTGGCGCGCGGTCTCGCGTCTAGCGGAACACTAGAGTTTGTTGGCTCCAACTCGCCCGACGAGGTCATTGAGGGCGGTAACGAGGATTCCGTGCGTGTCGATGTCATTGCGCGAGTACCCAAGAATAGGACTCTGGACTCGCTCGCCCGAGTATGCCACATGTCTCGAAAGGACGGATCGATGGGTATCGGTGTCTACACCCCGATCGAGACGGATGGCGGTGCAGACGGACCCTCGTACCTGCTGAATTCGGTGGGAACACCGGCCTTCCATATCATTGTGCGGTTCCCACCGTCCATCCTGAAGAACAGCACGGTGTACCCGTCGCCTGCATTCATCGGCAATGTCTCGTTTGACCTTGCGCAGATGGGTATGCGGGTGGGCAACATGCGGAACGTTGTGCAGTTTGGCGACTTTGACGTTCGTGCCGACACGCGGGGAGGCGGTGTAGTCGTCGATTACTTGGCGGCCGAGACTGCCCGGATCCACGGAGCCGAAGGCTCAGTTCAGGGCACGTTCAACATCTCGTCGTCGCTAGCGATCAACTCGACCTCGGGCACGATCATGGCGAATGTGATCCTGAACGACCCCGACCTGAAGCAGGACAACTCGACAACGGTCAAGTCGACGATCCCGATGCCGCGCGACGTGTACGAGGACGAGAGCGAGTGGGACGACGACGGCAACTACATCATCGGGACGGCGAACAAGTCTTACGACGAGGGCGACTCGACGAACAACTCGCTGAAGGAGGCTGCGTCGCGGGCGGCGCGTATCCGGAAGCTGCAGCAGGTTCCGACGCACGAGGTGAACACGACGTTCATGACGAACGAGGGCTTCATCTTTGTCGCGTACCTGCACCACCCGCCCTCGACGGCGCTCAAGAGCTTTGTGGCGTCTCGCTCCGGCGTCGTCGACGTCGCCATGCACCCAAACTACGTCGGGCCCTTCTCCCTCGCGAACCTCTGGGGCAGCATCCGCTTACCCCCGATAACGCGTCCGCTCAGCGACGACCCGTTAAACCTGGGCCGCATCCGGCGCATGCTCACGGGCAGCATCAGCCTGACGAACACGACCTTCTTCGAGGCACACGACATCTCCCTGCTTGGGGCGAACAATGCGGCCGCCGTCGCCGCCCGCGTCACGGGCGCGGCGCTCTGGGCCTTCCCGAACGACGACAGCTACACGGCCCTCTCGACGCAGGAATCGCCCGAGGCCCGCGGCTCGGCGTTCGTCGCCATGGCCAACCTGGGCGATTTACAGGTCACCTTTGATGGGCACTAATCTTTACTTCCCTCTGCAAGCAAATCCTGGCTGTATTATACCACCACCAACATCATACACTCTCTTTGTATTTGGCGCATTTGACATATGTAAATCTATCGAGGAACGTCAGCCCGAGGCCGCAGGCCGCAGGCCGAGGGCGTGCAGCGCAACCGTTCGTTTGCACGCTACTGATTCCGTGACTGGGATTAGTATCGAGGGTGCGGGAGGTGTGTACAGGTGTGCCAAAGAGTTGCACCGCCTTCGCGTCTTCGGATGGCCGGCGACTATTCCAGTCCAACGTCCAACCCTACTCCGCACCCTTGGAATCTAGACTGGATACGACAATGAACAGGCCCCTCTGCATGAACTTGATTTCAAGCGCTTACATGCTCTTCTACATATGTATTCACGACTCAGCGCGCTCAGCGAAGAATGGCCATGTGGGAGAAGAAGGGGGCGAGCGGCGTCCTTGGTGAACTGGTAAAGGGGCCCTCGGCCGCTCGGCGGTGCTCGGCGGGGTGAGTGAGTGAGCCGTGCAGATCTAGGTGCTTGGCTGGGTGGCGTCGAATGGATTGCCTGCAGGTAACTACTGGGACCGGTCTGGTCCTCGTTCGTTGCTTTCTCGCTACTGGCTGCGCCGAGACCTCCTCCTGCTGCATCCTGTATATCCAGACCTCCAGCTGCCAACGCCTCTGCTTGCTCTGCAAGGCTGCAGTGATTCTGGTCAATGGAGAATGAGTTATTTACGACGCACGATGGGGGTCAGTTGCCACCTGCAAGGGCATGCAAGGGGCACCTGCACGTTTGCGGACGGAAATAGCACAGGTCATAGCTTCATAGTCGCCGCATATCTCTCCCTAGCTCTCCCTCTCCCTCTCACCTCTCTCGCCTGTGCAGACCGCCAGGTTGCCGCTCAGCTAGTATTTGCATACCTCGTGCCATTCCATTGGTATCAGTGCTCAGTGCATGCAGTGCAGGCCGTGCAGGACATGGTGCAAAACCTTCCCTCCGCTAGATTCTCCTCCCGGACCTCAACCGATTAGGTTCATCGTGCCTCTCCCAGCCTCCCAGCCTCAAGTGGCAACTACGACGGAGCGGCGGGTGGATCGCCGCTCAGACTGGGTGAGCTGGGTGGAGCCGGAATGCCAGTCACAGCGCCGTCATCACTACGTGCTGCGTGCTGCGTCTCAGCGCCGTGCCTCGGTGCTCCGACGTGTGAGCATGTGCTGCATGTGCTCACTCCGACAGAGCGAGGTCACATGCCACCATCACTCGGAGCTGAAGTACGCCGTATGCCGTGCGGTGGAGACAGAGCGGAGGCTCAGCCCAACGGCCAACGGCAACTGCCAAAAGGGTGTATATCCATGAACCAATGAAATGCCAGTTTGTGGGGAAAGCAAGGAGCGTGTTCAGACTATAATAATTCAATTGAATGCGCTCCGTTGGAACCGGCGTTCATCCTGTCCCTCCCTGCTCCCTGTCCCTGCGCTCGGCGCACAAGTGGGAAAAAAGGAGATGCGAGATCGGAACCGACTCTAGACACCTGCGTGCAACCTGTGTGGGCAGGACACACACGCGTACTTGCAAGCAATACAACTCGAATGCTGCATGTATAGCCGTGGTTATTCCGTGGATGTATACATCGATGAGTCTAAGCTAGTCAACGCTTGCACGTTGGTTGTTGTTCGGGGTGGATGCGCCAGTGTCAGGTTGCAATGCAAAGTGAGGAGGACAACTTTAGCTCGGGAACTGAACTGAGGCACGAGAGAGAGCAGTTCTACCTCGGGTCTCATGCCCTGTTGCCGGGCCGATGCGGTTGCGCGTTGCGTTTTGCGGCACATCCAACAAGTTTTGATGCCGAGAGCAGATCGAGCAGAGGCTGCATCAGCCTGGAGACGCGCGGTGGGATGGCAAAAGTAGCAGCATACAGCGGTGCCTGGCGGTTCAAAGACCCAATGGTGGACCGTGCCGTATACCCCGCAATCCACTCTGGGAGACATGTACAGCCTCCCCTCCCTCTCCTGGCTCTTGGCTCGAACTCTTGGGTTACATCCTTGCAGCAACACACACTCACACACTCATCACGCTTGCATCGCTCTCATTGCTGCTCCGCGCCACTGGCCCTGCATCACTACCGCTCTGCTTCCGGCCATCCCAGTCTGCCCTGGACGCAGCCAACTCGCAGCAACTTCCACCCTCACATCCACTACTCGACCACTCCTCAACTCTTTCAACTCGACACCTCACACAACACCGCACACTACGCACGGCCCTCTCCGCATCCCTCAACTCACACTCTGCGATCCCCCCGACTCGCTCAAAACACACCTCGATCCGCAGACAGCGCGAATTCCTCAACCTCCCCCCCTCCACCCGATCACCCACCCTCCTCCACCTGACACCCAGCAACCACCGACATCCCCTGCTATGGGCCTGCTCTCAGTGCCCCGATGGGCGACTAGAGCTCTGTCCACCGCCGCCTCCCCCCTCCCCACCACGAAGCTCGCTCCCCCATCACCCCTCTACCAGCTCATCCCCTCCACCGTCGGCGCACCCTCCCTCTCCAGCTCGGCAAGCGACGACTCCGAGTCCACCTACGCCACCACCGACCCCGATGACCTCGACCCAGACCATCGCAGCACCGGGCCATCACGGCAGCGCGGCGCACCCTTTGCGCGCCTCGACCCGCTCGTCGTCACCGCCGCCCTCCTCGCGACCGGCATGTTCATCGTCATGTTCATCTGGTACCCCTTCCCGACAACGATACACGCCTTTGTCGCAGTCGCCGTCGGCGTCGTCAGCTGGACGATGGGCAGCTGGGCACGCTCCCTCGCCGGCGTCGTGCTCCGCAAACCGAATCTGTACCGCTACAGCGTGCCGCAGCTGACGGGGCTCGCCGTCGCGTCCATCCTGACAATCTACTGGCTCATCCTCGGCATCCACCCCCCGCAAGAGGTCGCGCCCCCGCTCAACCTCGACGGCGAGCGCTACTTCATCGCAGCCAATCTCTACAACAACGAGGACATCATCCCCCGCTGGACGGGCCAGATCGAGAAGCTGATTGACCACCGTGAGTCGACACGCTGTGTCTTGTTCATGCTGACCCCCAGTCGGGCCGAACCGCACGTTCGTGTCCGTCTACGAGTCCAACTCGAAGGACAGCACGCCCGAGCTCCTGCGCGACTTTGGCGACCGCCTCGACGCCATGGGCGTCCCGCACCGCATCATCTCGGACGTCACGGAACGATGGTGGCCGTACCCGACCTCGCCGGAGCGTATCGGCTTCCTGGCGAACGCGCGCAACAAGGCCATGGCCCCGCTCCAGTCGGCCGACAGCGACACCCGCCTCCCCGACTACGACAGCTACACCAAGGTGCTCTTCCTGAACGACGTCCTGTTCACGTGGGAGGCGGCGGTGCGGCTGCTCGCGACCAAGCACGACGACGACCCCGACTACGACCTTGCATGCGGCATGGACTTTGGTGCTTCTGGTGAGTAGCGTTTTTTGCGAACGTGACTGGAGCCGGGGGGCGAGCGAGAATTGTGGCCGATCTGGTGGGCGCTTTTTTCGCCGCCTAGGCGGCTAGGGCCCTTGGCAGGGATGGGTGCTTGTCGTGTCGGTCGGGGAAAGGGAAATTTCAGCGGCAGTGGTCGGTCATCCGCGACAGTGCCGGTGGCGAGCAGCATGGTCATGGCGATGAGTGAACAAGGGGGCAGACCGGGCCGGGTAGCATACATATATACGCGTCAGCCGGCGCGCTGGTTGTTTGTGTGCGGATGCGTCTCCCTTGTCGCCCTGTCGCCCGAGGCCGACGTGGGCTCTACACATGACTGATAGGGCTTGGCACGATCTCGCCCCTTTTGTCCAGCCTGTCCAATCTCGATCGCCCGGGCCGTCCGGGCGCCCATTCCATCTCCGTCATGAGCTACGGACACTTGACGACGGAATGCTGACAAACATTTAGGTCTCTACGATACCTGGGTCTCGCGCGATGTGTGCGGCACGCCGACGCGCCCGTTCTGGCCCTACGTCAAGGATCCGGCGACGGTGCAGCGCGTGCGCGACGAGAAGGTCTTCCCGCTCGCCGCGTGCTGGAACGGCATGGTCGCCTTCCCGACAAAGCACTACCTGTACCAACCCGGCAAGCCCGGCAAGCCCGCGCCCGCTCCCGCTGAGCCAACGCGCCTGGCGAAGCGGGGGTGGAAGATGGTCGACAACTCGACGTACGAGGGCGGCCGCATGTCTCCCGCCCTGAGCGAGCCGATCCTCTTCCGCGCCTCCGGCATCGACGCGTGCGACCACAGCGAGTGTTTCCTGTTCAGCTACGACCTGCACCGTCTCTACCCACAGGGCAGCGGGGGACCGAAGATCTGGATGAACCCGAGCGTGCGCACTGCATACGAGGAGCACTGGTACAGATGGAACAACTACGTCCTCCGCATCCCCATGGTACGGTGGTGGGTGCGCAACTGGAGCCACGGGCTGCCGTTCGAGGCCGTCGACTGGCTCTGGGAGCGTCTCGCCCGGCATCGCGACTTGTGCACGTGGGCGGCGCTTGAGAAGCACGCGCCAGAGCGATGTCCCAGATTGCCGGGCGCGAAGAAGAACCCGTGGTACATTGGGTAGACTTGATGGGTTGTAGTTTTCTTGGTTCTTGTATGTGTACGCATTAATGCAGCTTTAGCATGGCATCGAGCGCCGAGCGTCGAGCGCCGAGTGCCGAAGGCGCGAGAGCGCGAGGGCGTGAGACGGAAGTCTGAAGGAGATTGATGGGTTGACTGGGTGGATGAAGGCAGTGGTCCAGCGAGATGACGCAGAGGTCAGCAAGATCAGCGCTGGAGGGAGAAGGGATCCAGGCAGCGAGGTCTGATACGTAGAAGACAGGCAGATGTCGTCGGAAAGGAGGAACGACGCGCCGAGTGAAACGGAAGACTAAGGCCTCGCCGGCCTCGCCGGCCTCGCTTTCTAGACGCGAAGAGAAACATACCGTCGTCAGTACCACGTTCTCGTTCTCCATGGGGCATATTATTCGCGTAGCCCAAAAAAGGGCCATCATTACATCGACTGACCATCGGTTAGAGCATACAGCGTCCATATCGCGTAGAGCATAGGGATAGCTGGAGCGGGAATGCGATGGTGGGAGACAGAAATATGGAGGAGGGGGCGGACGGCGCGGACGGGGACTCGGCCCGGACCCCTGTACCTCTAGAGTCAAGAGTGGAGCCCACACGCATAGACCACGTGAAACCGCCAGACTTCCAATCATCGTCGACGCTGCCGCGCAGCCCGCTCATCGGCCTCATCTCGTCCATCCATCGACCCTCATACCTACCACGCTCGCTCGCTCACTCGCTCGACGCCATCAGCCATCTGACGTCCATCTGCGAACCCCCCCTTCTTTAACTCCACACCACTACATACGACACAGTCGATACAGTCGGCGCACTCTCGCTACGTTTCGCTATCGCTACGCTCTACGCTCGACGCTCGACGCTCCCTCACCCCGCCTCGCCCTCGGTACACTCTCGCCTCGGGCCATTCCAGCTAGCACCTACACTTTCCTTTCATCCACCCGTGTTCATCTCGTCAATCACCCAGCACCCCTCTGGTCTCTCCTTCCACTACCCCTCCCTCCCCACCTTACCTTCTCCTCTTTCCCCTCTCCTTTCCCCCCACCTAACGCCCCACCCCACTCTCACCCTCGAAAGTAAAGCAGCATGGTCGGCCGCTCGAACACAATCATGGGCGGCCGCTCCGACTACGATAAGATCGTGAAACTCGCGTGCAAACCCAAGAACGCGCCCCCAAAGGCCAAGTACCTCGACGCGCTTATTGCGGGGACGTTTGATCAGAATAGCACCGATCAGATCGCGCGCGCGCTCGCGCAGAGGTTGAGGGAGCCGAATGGGATTGTGAGTACACCCTTGCGAGCTTGCCGCGAGGACTGCTTCCCGCAGGGAAGCAGGCGGAAGCAGGCCGAGCCCGTGGGCCCTGTGGATGATTGCGGGCGCGAGGACGCAGCTCTGCAACTCTGGACTCGACGGGCTCGGCGGTGCGGCGGAAGAGTGAGGGATGGGCCCACCCGTTGCCTGGCCGCGAATGGGCCGCCGAAGCCGCCGATGGGCCCGCTACAGGCCGAGACTGGCCGAGACTGTGGCCGAGACTGTGGCCCGAACGGACGAGGACTGTCTGATCCATCCTGCTCTCGCTGCTGTCAGTTGGGAACGCGGCGATGCTGGGTTGACGACGTGATCGGCTGAGGGAGCAGCTCGGTTCTCCCTCAGGTCGGACGTCCCCGAGCTCATGCGGCTGCTCTCTCGTGCACCTTGACTTGCTATCGCCCGCTTGCTGGCATGCCTGCTATCATCGCACTCGCTCGCTGTCGCTCTGCCTTCACGCTCACTCGCTATCGCTCGTTCGCTAACTCCAGGTCGTCTTTAAAGCGCTCCTCACGCTACACCAGATGCTCCGCTCCGGGTCCGCGGAGAATCTCCTCGCGCACCTCGCGCGGTCGGACATTCTGCACCTGCGCAACATCCAGACGGGCGGCGAGTGGGGCGGCGGCGTGCGCCCGCCGAGCAACATGACGACGTACGCCTACTACCTCGACACGCGCATCAAGAGCTTCCGGGATCTGCGGCACGACCTGGTGTTCTCGCAGACCGAGTCGAACCGGCGGAGTACGGGGCTGGGCGCCAACTCGAAGGCGCGGCGGCTGCGGCACCTTCCCGTTGAGAAGGGCCTGCTCCGCGAGGTGAAGCAGGTGCAGCGGATCCTGGACGCGCTCATCCGGTGCACGTTTTACGACGACGACCTCCGCGACGAGAACACGGTGCTCGCGTACCGCCTCCTGATCAAGGATCTGCTCGTGCTCTTCCAGGCAGGCAACGAGGGCGTGTGCAACATTCTCGAGCACTACTTTGAAATGTCCAAGATTGACGCGACGGACGCATTCGAGATTTACAAGTCGTTCATCAAGCAGACAGACAAGATTGTCGACTATCTCGCGATCGCGCGCCGGCTCAACAATATCGTCAACGTCCCCGTCCCCACCCTGAAGCACGCGCCGACGTCCCTCGTCAAGGCGCTCGAGGAGTACCTGAACGACCCCAACTTTGAGCAGAACAGGCAAGAGTACAAAAAGTCGCTCGGCGTGGTAGAAGGCAAGAACGTCAAGAGCTCGCCGTCGCCAAAGCCCAAGTCGAAAGACGAGGGGAGGAAGGATGCGTCGAGCAGCAGCGCCGACGCTGCCCCCGCGCCCGTCGCCGCGACGCAGCAGAAGATCCAGGACTTCCTCGACAGCATCGAGACGGAGCAGGAGAAGCTGCACAGCTTGCAGCAGAACGCGGCGCAGCAGCAGCAGGCCCACGCCCAGCAGATGATGCAGTTTGGCGGCATGCCCGGCGGAATGGGTCCTGTCGGCGGCGTCGGCAGCATCGGCTCGATGGGCAGCATGAACAGCATGGCGACGGCCCAGCTCCACCCGCAAATGACGGGCGCGAACCCCTTCCGCCAGTCCGTCATGTTCCCGCAGCAGACGGGCATGCCCCTGTCTGGCTTCCCGCAGCAACAGCAGCAAGGTATGGGGATGCAGCCGCAGGCGACTGGGTTCCCCATGCAGCAACAGCAGCAGCAGCAGCAGATGCAACCCCAGGCGACGGGCTTCCTGCAGCCGCAGAAGACGGGCCAGATGGCGTTCGGCCACCAGCAGCAACCGTTCATGCAGGCCCAGCCCACGGGATTCCTGCAGCCGCAAGCGACCGGCTCGAACCCCTTCAGGCAGAGCATGATGCCGTCCTCGGGCTCAATGGGCAATCTGGCGGGGCAGGCTCAGCCCTTCGGTTCCAACTCGGCCTTTGGCTCTGGTTCTGGCTCCTTCTCGCAGCCCAGCTCCGCCGGTCCCTTCTCCCCCAGCACGATCAACACGAGCGCCTTTGGCTCCGGGCCCAACAGCGCGTTCGGGCAAGCCTCGCAGCCCAACAGCGCCAGCGCCTTCGGGCCGGGCCAGTCGTTCACGCAGGGCCCGCAAACCTCTTCCCCGCAGCCCACGTCCCCGAAACCCCTCACGGCGCAGAAGACAGGCAGCAACAACCCCTTCGCGCCCCCCGGCGGCGTGCCCGCCCCGCAGGCGCCGGTGCCCAAGATGCCGAATCTGAACGAGCTCGCACAGCAAAAGTACCAGCAGCAATTCGCGCAGGCCGGAGGTCTCAACCCGACCCCCGCGGCGGCGCAGCCCACCTCCCCGCCTCAGCAGCCTCAGCGGCAGCAGTCCGCCTCGTCGCCGTGGGACCCCCTCGGGCCCTCGAGTAACGGGGGCACGGGCATGTCGGACATTGCGAGCGCGTTTGCGATTGACAAACCCCAGCAATCGCAGCAATCGGGGCAGAATAAGGATCTGCTCTCGTCCTTTGGGGATCTCAACTTTGGCTCGAGCCCGCCCTCGAACAACAACACCTCGGAGTTTTTGCAGCCGCAAAAGACAGGCTTTGGGGGGAGCACCGTCAAGCCGTTCCAGCCCACGAGCAGCTTTGGCAAGAGCCTCATGGAGTCGTTGCCGCCGATTGCTGAGCCGTCCGCCTCCCCCTCCGGCCTGCAGGCGCAGAGCACAGGCTTCCCCTTCTCGCACGGGGGACAGTTCACGTCGTCCCCCGCCGCGTCGCCTGGGCTCGTTAGTCCCGGCGCTGCTCCCAACGGCACTCCGGGAGCCAACGGAGCCAACGGAGCCAACGGAGCCAACGGCGCGAGCTCTCCAGGAGGCAACTCGCCCTTTGGCCAGAACCACTCCAACTCGTTCGGCGCCTTCACCCCGCCCCCGCCCCCGCAGCCTCAACTCTCGCACTCGACGTCCTTCGGCGCCTTCCCACCACGCGCTAACAGCGTCTCGACGGCCAGCAAGTCCTTCACGGGCGCGCCCTCGCCGTTCGCGCCGCAGCGCTCCGCCACCACCGACCCGACCTTCACCGCGCCCCTGCAGGCACAGACGACGGGGAGCAATCCCTTCCGCCAGTCCCTTATGCCGAGCATGACGGGCGGCTCGGCCGGCGCGGGCGTCGGCGGCGGCGGCGCGTTTGGGGGAAACAGCCCTTTCGCGCAGACCACGGGCACGGGCGGGAGTGGAGCCTTCGGCTCCCCGGGCGTGCCGGGCGTGCAGAACGGGGTCATGGCCCACCCCACCGGCATTGCTGCGTTTGGCGCGCAGCAGTTCGCAACCCAGGGGCAGTGGGGACAGAGCTTTGCCAGGCCGAATTAGGAGTCTGACCTGGAACTGTTGGTGGATTTTGGCACGACGTCGACGGCGTCGGCGTCAGCGTCAGCTGGCGCCGGGGGCGGCGCGGGGATGAGTGCGGGATCTGTAAAGGCGATGAGTACGGGGGGCAGCACGAGGCCGTTTGAGTGGGCGGGCGGGCGCTAGTCTTATGTTCTGAACCACGAAGTTGGTAGAGCGGCAGGAGGGAGGAGGAGTGAGGCGGCGTTAAAACTTAGACCCACCGTTTTGTCTATTTTTCATCCAATTTCTAAGCCTTTGTCACGATCGTTGTTTCCTTTCTTTTTTCTTTCGTAGGTTTAGCTATGTTTCATGCATGTGTCGTGGGATCTTGCTCTTCTCTTCTTATTGGCTCCTGGTTCGTGGCGGCGGTTCCGTATGTGGGTGTTTGAGCGCCAACCACGCCTGCGGAGCTGATTGCTTGAGATACAGTAAATGCAGCTGTCCATGACTGTGGGGTTCAGCGATCGACCGCCTGGTCGTCTACAATTGCGGTACCTCTTGGCACTTGGCTAGACGTCCGCATAAGTAGATCAGTCTGGTCAGCAGCGACTTGGCCGTGACTGGCGGACTCGTGTGCAGCCCAGTCACTCTGCATTTACAAACTAGCACGCTCAAGACCGACTTTCCTCCAGGAAGAGACAACCCCGCAACCGTCAGCAATTGGCAATGGTGAGTAGGTGGAAGAGCTGTTCCCTCCCAACGGTGAGAACTGTCAAAACTATAGCATCCAAACGGCTTTTACAACATGCTGCAGTCCCAGAAAAGACCCTCTCGTCACGTCGTCTCCGCAGCTGCCTTCGCCTTCTGTCGCTTTTGCGTCCTCCTTCAACACTTGGAGCAACCGCACGAAATCGTCCCAATGAGATACTGCGACACCCTCTAGGGAGCCTCGGCCAAAGGTGAAGTCTCCAGTGGTGACAACTACCATCACAAACAGGGTCTCGGGCCTGAACTCGGCCTCTGGCACGGACAGTAGGCGAAGCCGTGCTACCACGCTTGTGTGGCGAGGAAGCTGATGTGGGGAGAGGAGATGCTTAGGGCAGGGCAGAATAATCCGCTCGAGTTTGCCGGAACCGCGACGAATCTCGACGATCCGCATGAGCGACTCGTTGCTCGCTATGAAGCACTGCGCGGAGTTGAACTGGATCGTGACCTGTTGTTAGACGCCCTGGCTCCTTCCAGTCCTCTCACTCACGAAACGCTCGCCTTTGACGAGGTCGGTCAGGATGGAGCGCACCGACTTCGTCATCGCGGCATTCATCAGGCAAGTGTCAGCCCGACACTCGCTGCGACGATGCTGGTCTCACCTCGGTTGGAATGGGAACGGCCGCCACCTCGGTCGAGTCGTCTTCCGTCGGGTCGGGCACGGCCCAAACGCCCTTCGGGGCCGGTCGCGCACGCTGACTGTCAGCTTAACCCCAAGACGACCAGGATGTTCTCACCTTGGTAGGCCGTGCGGGAGGAGTTGTTGGCCTCGGGCCGACAATCGGGCCACCATCCGGAGCACGGCGAGTGCTGGACTGGATGGCGCCGTCACGGTCCGCGCTGGTGCCTGACGCCGCATCTCCTCCAGCCTCGCTTGACCCGGGGCTGGAGGAGGCCGGTTGTCCTGCGGCGACGGGGTTGGGACCGAATATAGACTTGGGCGGCGGCAGAATGCTCGGTGTTCCCCAGACGAAACAGCGCGAGATGTCGCTTTCTGTGTCAGCAGGCCACATGTCTATGGTGTGTCACCAGGTCACCAGGGTGTTTTGGTGGATGACGGGCAGGTTAGACTCACCTCCGATCGGGGCGACGGCGACGCCTCCAAGGGTGGCGGCTCGTCGCGGTGGCGCTTTCGTCTTTCCGCTCGCTTCACTGCCAGCTGAGCCTTGGAGCTCGGCGAAAGGGGCTCGCCGGAGTGCGACTTCAGGCCTCCCATGATATAGCCGAGGGAAGGGTGAAGAGGCGATGAGCAGTGTCAACGAGACGTGAGGGAACGAGACGTGGGCGACGGAGGAACAGCTGATGAGACGAGAGGATAGGCGTGAAACCAAGAAATGAGAGCGTAAAGAGCAAGATACCAGAAGAGAAGGTGGGGGACCTATGAAGGTCGGTGCAAGTTGAGAAGGATGGGGATTGTTGGGGAAGAGAAGAGCTGAAGGTGATTTAGTAGGCGACAAAAGACAGAGGCGACGACAGGAGAGGAGATGCGCGAAAGCCGGCACATAGTCGGTGACGAAGGCCTCGTCATACTCCCGCACACGGCCTGGCATAGCCGCCACTTTCAGGCGAAACTGCATGTAAGGCAGACTCTCCTGCTTCCAGAACCGTCGGACCGTAGAGGAAGAACCAAACGGCCTGGAAACAGAGTCGCTCTCGTAGCGAAAAGCGAAGCGGGTGCGCCGAGATGCTGCGATACCCCAGCTCCCTGCCAGTCGCGACCAGGAACGCTATTAGGCAATCCCATGCTTCGAAGGAGTCGGAGGCTACATCCTTCTTGGTGCACGGGGTCGAGCGGCCCCTCCAGGTTCACCGGCTTGACGATATCGTTCATGGTTCCGACTAGGTTCAGGAACGATGGGCACAGGCCGCCCAAGCGAGACAAGGGAAGCGCCTCGATGTCGATCCGGGGAGGCACGGCGATCGCGGCCGGCTTGTGACGTGAGAGCCGAGGTGGCGACGACCATGATGGACCGGCATCCTCGCTGTTCTCGTAGCCAAACTGAGAGTTGGCTGAGGAAGGCGAGTTTGTGACGGACGAGATCGCTGGGAGTCGGACGCGAGGCGGTCGAGCAGCCGTGCTAATGTAGCCCAGCTCGGATCCCGTCATCAGCAGGAACGCCATAAGACAGTCCCAGGCCTCAAACGACTCCGGCTGGAGCTCCTCGCGTCCATAGTCGACGACGAACGCCTCGTCGCGAGAGCTCACCATCCGGGCTTGGTGGCGATTCGCATCCGGACATACTCACCGTCAAGGTCAGACTCGCCGATCTCGGACACCGTGGGGTCATACACGCGAAAAAACACCTCCTTGCCCTTGAGAGTGGGCCGGAAGGTGAGGAGGCCGACCGGAACAGGAACCGCGATGTAAGGGGGAAGGTCGCGGTTGAGGTAAGTGGCCACCCTCTCGCGCCACTTCTTGTCCCAAACGAAGAAGTAGAGCCGCTTCCTCGCCGTGAACTGTGGTCAGAGTCGAGCTACAAGCGCGATCCGCCGACTCACCCGTCTCTGGCCGAGAGCGAACTCCAAGAAGTTGCGGTGCACGCCCTTGGGCGCACGATCCTGGACTGTCAGTGAGCTATACAAATTGGAGTTAGCGCTGTTGACTCTTACTGGGCGGAGAAGGGGCCGTTTGGCAAACGATCCGGGGGTGGGGTCAGCGCTTGAGGGGCGCTGAATCGGGTCATAGGCGAGGTTGGTCAGCTTGGTGTAGGAGCGGCTGCGCATGGGCGTTGGTGGCAGAGGGATGACGGGGAAGCGGGGAATCTCCGTCGTGGGCGACGAAGAAGCGACCGCCTCCGAAAGAGACGGAAATCCGCTCTGCATGATCTTGGCCGGTGTCGGGGTACTCGTGCCGAGATCGGAGGAGTCGGACCACTCGCTCGTGGAGCTGGACGCATCATCCTGTGCCTATGGACATCAGCGAGCTGAGCAAAACAGTTTTATCACGAGTGGACTCACCACTCGCTCGTGCGGGGGCCGTTCGCCATAGCGTTGAGGGGACACGAGTTGGCCGAACGTCGATTGCCTCGAGTGCCCCTCGTTCCGAATAAAAAGGTGTTGGACTCCATTGGGGCGAGGCACGACGCATTGGATGATGGCGAGCAGGTTCATCTTTAAGATGAAGGAGGAAAACGGATCGGAGAGCTTCAGGTGAGGCAGTGGCAAAGCGTAGAAAGGTGGTGAGGAAGGGACAATGGGATGCAGTCGGACGGCCAGTTGATGGTGAGGAGCGGGAGCATTCTTGGATTCTGGAGGCTACGAAGCATGCACCGCAAGTGCGCAGCGTCCGCAGACTGGCAGCACGCTGGAAGCGAGGTGGGGCGCAGAGTCTTAGGGCGCAGGCGGGCGGTGGGGAGGGTGTGCACGCTGCTGCTTGACCAATTCACCAGCCGATCAGCCCCAACCAGATCGCCACCGATCCACTGCGCCACCGCCCACTGGTTCGGACGATCCGCGCCGCGTTGACCCCGTTCACAGCGCGATCTGCATTCTGCAACCAAAAAAATGCGCTTGCATGCACGTTTGTTTAGCCTACACGCAGCCGCTTAGGTGCACCTCTGCGCACAGTGCAGAAGCAACGATGTCGCAATCTGGTCGACTGAGATCAGGCACTATCGATCGCCCTGCCGGCAAACTATCCGGCACCTTGACCGCTTCACGGCGCCTTGGCGCGGCCACAATATGCCCTTAGCCCATGCGACCCACGGCCCAGACGTTGCCAACAGACAACCAGAGCTGGCTTACACAGCATGCTGCTGCATGCCATCTCCATCTTTGTCGCCCGCCCCGCCACCCCACCTGCGCTGCGTGCATTCAATCGCCCTTCCAATCACCCTTTCAGACGCTGCCTATGAGTGGCATCCTACTGCTCGACGCAAGCTTGACCTGGTCGCATTCCACAGAAGAGCGGCTGCTCTGCGATTCAGCCTGCCTGCCGCTAACACCCATAGGTACAGGCGCCATCTGTTTAACGCTGCTGAGTCCCACTCTGCGGCAAACTTTGACAACCTTGCGTTGTGAAGAGATTTGCAGCAGCGGAATCGCCCCCCGTCGAGACGCCGAACCGCTGCCCACGGCATCGAAGACTGTCCACAGAGGAAGAGGCCTGCATCGGGCATTCTTGATTCGGGACGTTATTAGCCTCTATCCATCGGCCTCGGTGTTTCCTTCGGCCCTGTCACATTTGCAGCTCCACTCTTTGCCGCTGATGACTGTCGTAATAGATTGCATAGACAAGGCTACGGCGAGGTTGAACTCTTATATAGTTGCACCTAGAGAGGAAAACTGCCACATGGCTGGGGGTGTCAAGAGTCAATTACAACAATGACAACCGCAGGTACGGAGACCAGGTCAAAATTGCCGGCCGCAGATGCGTCCTCCTTGATCGTTGCGCTGTTTCTGGTCTCCAGTTTGAGCGCGCAAGCTAACAAGACCGTCTTGTTGGACGTCCTCGTAGCAGGCAGAGGCAGGAGCGACGCCGCCTATCAAGTAAACCCTGCCTTAACATGTCGTAGGCATCGCACTGTCCGTCACAACAGGGACTTAATCGCTCACGACAATCACCTGAGACCTGGTCGGCCTTGCCCTCGACCCTTCGTCCACCACGGCAGGCCAGACCAAATTGGAAGAAAGCTCGAGCATGAAGGCTGACCAGTCGGTGAATTTTCGCGGTGTCAGCGGCGTCCATTATGCGTCAACCTCGTCTAATTCATTCACGACGGGCATCCAGTTGAGAACAGCCTGGCTCCTGTGCAATGACCCCTTGATAGATTCTCTCTGGCGCAAGCAAAAGTCAGTGGACGAGCCATCCTCGGCGGCCGTGAAGTCCTCCATCGCCCACGAAATCGCGTAGTGTGGATGCCACAATGCAGTTAGAGCCTTGGTGCTTGGTAAGGGGACGAATCTGATCAGTGCACATGACCTTCAAAAGCCTTTGCGCCGATACGATGGGTACCATGCTGTTCACTACAACCATTGCACTGACGATCCATGGAAAGATGCCAAGAGACTTGTAGGATACCCCCCCCCCAATGCGCTCCAAAGGCCTTCCGGAGGGCGCTTGCAGGGTACTCGCACACAGAATGCGTTCCGCCCCCTACTCAGAATCGGTTGCTCGTCGTCGGTACTCGCTGTCACTGCTATCTCGAAATGATGCATCCTAGTGTTGCGCATGGGCAATTTGAGACGCACTTGACGGACGTTGTCCACGCTTGCCGCATGCCTTCATGCGTTCGACCTTCCAAGTCCACGCAGTCTGGGCAGAGGCTGGCCCATATATACCTCAAAATCAGTGCTAAGGGGAACACAGGTGGGGGGTGGCCGTATACCTGTCTCCGACACTTTGTTGTCATGGAAAAGGACGAGCAGCCCTGGAGTTAAGCCACTGATACAGCATGACCACCCTGAAAGCCATTGCATGGGGGCAGAGCATCTGGTACCCACCAATGTAACATCAAGCACAGATCCCTTTAGGAGTACCACCAGCCTCCATATCCACAGTCTCTGCCTCCTCTGTCTTAAAGACAGGGTGCCTGGTGTTGTCTTTCCGGTTGCCGCAGGAGCCGAGAACATAAGTGTACACTGCCATGACCTGCCGGGCGCAGGCCCACCAGCGTCACGTGATACACCAACGGGAGGGGGCTCCGCCCCCAATCACGTGACACAGCCAGCGAAGAAGGGGGTCAGGAACGTAGATCGCCCTGCCACCGGGCGAGGCGCGCAGGGGAACGACCTTGGACGAAGTGTCCGCAACTTCAGCGCCGAGGACGACGGAGACACACTGCCTGTTCTGAG